GCAATAAAATAATAAAATTAGTTTTATATTATTACATTTAATACATTATGTTATTAATTAATTCTAATTGTGTTGTTATTATTATTATTATAAGAGGTGTGTCCAAGCTTTTAAGTGGTAGTGTATTCATATACTTTATATATTCAAGAGTATAAATGTTTGATCATTTTAAATTTACATAAGTTAAGTAATTGTATTTATATAAAATGTGTGTATATATGAAAAACATGTAGAGAGTAAAGATTAATTATTGAAATACCTGTTTTATGAAATTTTTTTTAAATACATGCAGTTACTGTTTTTTTAAACAGCCTTTTATTAACAATTAATTTTGTGCCAGATACAGTGAATTGTTTAAACATATTCCACAAGTTTAATGAACACTGAATGACGTGACTCGTCATAAATCTAAAACAGAATTTATTCATTCACTTTTCCTTTGTAACGGTTCATTAGATGAATATAAACTCTTCTCCTCTAAGGCAGATGTTTTGTAGCTGCTGTTTTGACCATCACACCTCTGCTGTAGTCTCTCTGCAATTCTGAGTCACAACTTTTATGCTGCTGTAGCAATAGTAACCATAGTGCCAAGACAACCAATCAGCATCCCCCCTGGCGAGAACCCACCCAACTCAGATTGTGGGTGGCTCCCATCAAGCTGGTTTGGCTGTGACCTCATTCACCTGAATTTCCCTTTTCTGTCTTTCTTGCTTACATGTCCTTGTTTCTTTCTCTCACACGCATATGGCTGAGGACTTCACTATATACTGTACTATTAGACTGTCTATATCTCTTTTGCAAACATTTTTCTTACATATACAGGCAGTCACATACACACATAGGATATAATCCGCAAAATCTCACATTGACGTACACGTTGGGGTCATTCACATGTTGGCGTGGGCTGTGTGTTCTGTACTCCTGGTGTGTGTTTTTCTGATTTGTCTCATTCAATGCCTGCTCTAATCCTATTTGTGAATGCGTGTTTGTAAAATCTCCTCTTGCTTTCTACCTCTTGCCTGCTCGTTTTCATGCTATTGTCCTCATCTATTCATATGCCTCTCCCAATCAAATCTGAGGACCATAATGTATCAGCTTGCACAAATCAATGGGTCCTCAGGGTTGATAGTGTGCCATTTTTAGACCGTGCCCAAGGTTGATGGAATGGGCTCATGGAAAACAGCCTGTGGCTTTGACCTCTAAATAAAACTACTATGCTGAATTTATTTCGGTCAGTCATTTTCCTCAAAATAAGTACATGATCCCATGTGTGATCATAGCGGCAAGATTTGCTTTCTCTTTTGGATCATTGTTTATTTCCAGCTTTTAGTTGCTTTGTTTATGCCTTGTTTATTGTCTGGTTTTTCTGAGGAGTATATTCAGGATGAGCTCATTTTAATACACATTTACATGTTTCCTCCTGACTTAATAACATACTATACGCAAATGCAAACACGAATGCAGTAAATTGCAAATGCATGGTACCGTTTTTGGCTGTAACAACCTTTGAATAAAGACCAATGCCAAAAACCTGGCAAATACAGTTCAGTATCATCCTCAAAGGCACATTTATCAGCTGGTACCTTGTAAACACAACTTTGTTAGAATCGGAAGTTAGCATCTCTCTGGTTCTCTCGACAAAAAGCTGATAATATTTTTTTCCATTCGCTTTTTAATTATTGCAGAAAAAAAGATCTGTGACCAACAAAAGTTTACGAATCTTGCAGGTTTTTTTTTTTTTTAAGATCTTGACAAATAAACAACTTTGAAGCTTAAATTTAATTGCCAGAAGTGAAAAGCTACAGTTAGGTTATAAATGAACTAGACCATGGTCATACAACTTTTACCATCACCATCACTAAGCTTCTAACAACTCTATATCTTTATCTAAAATCTACAAGTTGGAAAATTGCATTTGAATAGCTTGCAAGGGTGCAAGTGTAAACACAAAGAGGCTGTAAAAGCAGAATATTGAGTAGATGAATTTACTTTTTTAGCATCATGACGTTTAATTTCCCAGATAATCTCTGCAGTCTTATTTCGCCCCTTGTTACCAACCATCTTTTTCAAGACACCCAAAAACAGCACGAAAGCCTATTGAGCTTGTGTTGTGTTTCAGGCATTTTACCAAAAATCATTCAAAATACCCATTGACTTCAAGGGTTAGTTCCCCCAAAATAAAAATTCTGTCATTAATTACTCACCCTCATGTCGTTCCAAACCTGTAAGACCTTTGTTCATCTTCGGAACACAAATTAAGATATTTTTGATGAAATCCAAGAGCTTTCTGAGAGCCTGCATAGACAGCAATGTAAAGCCCCGTTTCCACCGCAGGAACTTTACCCAGGAACTAGGGACTTTGGGCCGGTACTCGGTGTGTTTCCACCGCAGGAACCAGGATCTAAATAAAGTTCCGGGTAAAAAAATCTCCCCTCATAAAGTCCCTGCTCACGAGGTAGTACTTTTCAAAGGTCCGGAACTTTCGGGGCGGGACTTGGGCGCTAAACATGCTGATTGGTTGAGTTCACACAGCATTGTATTTTAACAACCATTTATTTGGATAATTTTCAAAATATTACTGTTATTGTGTCATGAAATGTAGTTTTAAAAGTATTTCAGGTGAGAATGTAGTTCTGAATGTAGTAGAAATGTGTTTCGCCGATTTCGGAGACGTGAGCTCCACGCGATCAGCGAGAGCAGCCTCAACTCAGCTAGTCCTTCTGACATAGCCGCTAGCGCTGATGTCTCTTTAGTGGTTAAACATAAGATATAATTTGTTTTGGGTAAATCTAGCAGGTAATCTTTGGTCTTTATTCTATTAATCTATTAATATGTTAAAATTAAAATAAAAAGAGGCAATACTGTTTAATATAATATTTCATTACATTGTAATGTAGGTTATATACATTGCCTGAACTATATTTCTGCGGCTATTAATATGTTTAAATGAAAATGAAAGGAGGCAGTGGTGTTCATATCAATATTATATCAATAGTATATCATATTTTGTCTTATTGTAAATACAGTGAGGAAAATTGGAGCAGCCAAGGCGAGCTGACTGACGTTATCAAGTATGCTGCTGTTTGCAGAATTACCGGACTTGTGTCGTTACCGTCCACGTGAGTCCGAATTACTGAGGATGCAAGTCCGAAATTTGCGTACTTGGTATTGAGAAACGCACTCTTATTGTAAATACAGTGAGGAAAATTGGAGCAGCCAAGGCGAGCTGACTGACGTTATCAAGTATGCTGCTGTTTGCAGAATTACTGGACTTGTGTCGTTCCGTCCACGTGAGTCCGAATTACTGAGGATGCAAGTCCGAAATTTGTGTACTTGGTATTGAGAAACGCATGCAGACCTACGTCACCAGACTATTTGCCTATTCTTCACGGTACTTTAGACCGCGATGGAAACGCAGACAGCAACAGGTCCTGGGACAAATTGTTCCAGGTAATTTCGGTGGAAAAGCGGCTTAACTGACACGTTCAAGGCCCAGAAACATAGTAAGGACATTGTAAAAATAGTCCATGTGACATCAGTGGTTCATCTGTAATTTTATACGTCAGAACACCAGCTCCTGTGTCAGCAGCACCACACGCATGCGTCGTGGTATATCGTGAACGCGTGTTAAAGACTGACAAGGAAGAGAAGAAATTATTGAATAAAGTCATTATTTTTGTTTTCTTTGCGCACAAAAAGTATTCGCAAAGCTTCATAAAATTAAGGTTTAACCACTGATGTCACATGGACTATTTTAACAATGTTCTTACTACCTTTCTGGGCCTTGAACTTGTCGGTTGCATTGCTGTCTATGGAGGGTCAGAAAGCTCTCGGATTTCATCAAAGCTATCTTCATTTGTAGTTCCGAAGATGAAAAAAGGTCTTAAGGGTTTAGAACGACATGAGGGTGAGTAATTAATGACAGAATTTGTGTGTGAACTATCCCTTTCAGGATAATGGAACTGTAAGATCAAAAACACCAACTTGTTTCTGGGTTTAAGGCTCGTTCCTGCAAAACCCTGTTCGAAATGCTGCTTTTTGTGGGAAGTATTCACTAGTATTAAACATCAAACTTCCTCAGCAAGAACTGTTACTTCACCATCACAGTAGTTGACCTAGAAGAGTAAACCGACTATAGAACAAGGGTCATCAGACTGTCATCTGGCCTGCAGAGTTCAGCTCCAACCCTAATTAAACGCACCTGAACCAGATAATCAAGGTCTTACTAGGTATACTTGAAACGTCCAGGTGAGTGTGTTGAGGCTAGTTGGAGCTAAACTCTGCAGGACACTGGCCCTCCAGGATCAAGTTTGGTGACCCCTACTATAGAAGAAGCTTGCGTTACTGCTATAGCGCCCCTTGTGGCAATTCTAAGAGTACAGGGAGAAAACAAGTGTGTACTGGCGCATTTTAGAACCCAGTGACATGAATTCGAGCATTAGTGTTAATTTGCTTGCATACAGTATGTTTTAGTCGTTACTGCCATCCCATCCTTTGTGTTTCGCTTCCTATATCTTTCTTTTCCCCCCCCATCTCTTTCATTTTCTGTACTTTCAATTTCAGCCTCCCTAATATTATAACATTTTGTCTCTGTTCCTCTTTCTCTATAACCTCTCTCTCCTCCATGTGTACTTACTCTGCCTCCTTTTGCATTGCTCTCTTTCTCGTGTGGTTGGCAGGTGTAACTCCAGATGCCTTGTTGTGGTTGTTGAACTTACCTTCTGCATGATGGACGCCCTCCTCACCCCCCTCTGTTTTTCGTCTCCGAATGGCACCTTTCCTCCTTCTCCTCCTCCTCCTCCTGTGGGCAATAAGTGGGCTAAAGCATGCCCAACCGGCCAAGATCCTTGGCCTTTCCTTCTTGTCAAAGCTGAACTAAGTCTCTCTTCTATTTCGCAGCACTATAATAATCTGTCAGTCTGTAGACAATAATCTGTCAATAGAGAGATCTCTTCTTGTCTGTCAGTCTCTTTTACTGTTTGTCTGTTCATCTGGGATGTAAGCTGCCACTATGTTTTTGTGTCTCTAATTAACTTCCAGTAGAGCTCCTGCTGTATAAAGCTCTCTCTCCTAGTAAACACACTCTGTTTTCCTGCTCAATTACTCCAGAGGGACTATCCTCTATTTTCCTTCCCATCTCTTAACACTGACTGGAATTTTCATCTCGGCTATATTTTCTTAATTCAGCTGCTTTGGTGTTTAAGCAATAGTTCATCCAAGAATGAAAATTCTGTTATTATTTGCTCACCCTCATGTTGTTCCAAACCTATTCGCTGTTGTTTTTCTCCACTGAACACAAATGGATTTTTTTCTTGATATTGACTATATCTGTCAAGCTACCATAACAAATAGTCCATGTCTTGCATTATATTCCAAGTCTGTATAAAAGAGCTGTGTAACGAGAAAATGCACGCACATTTGGAACGACATGAGATGAATCTTTAATGGAAGACAGAACTTAAGAATAAACCTTAGCCAGAGTAGATATTAAAGACAATTAAAACAAAGCCTACTCTAATGTCTGTGCTTAACATACTGTACATCCTAAATAAAAGCAATGTTCTGGGTTCAATACAAATTAAACTCAACAGCATTTTTGGCATGATGTCAATTATGATGAAATTATATTATATTATATATATTTATATATAATATAAGGTTTCAATAGTATCGCCACAAGTCTGAAGACAAAACAATAGAATAATAGCAGAATATAGCTTCATTTATGAAAATGACTATTTTGTCTTGTGGACTATATATAAAAAAATGTTAAGTGAAATAACACATAAAACATCAAATAAACTGAGGGATGAGACTATTATATTTTATATATTATAAATTATATGCGGTGCAGATCACCATTATGCCACAAATGCTGTGAACAGAGCTTCTCTTGTATTGAAGTTGGCATGGTTGTGGTGTTCAGCTTCTGTATAGACAAAGTCTTGCTTTCCACACACTTTTTCAAACATTTCATATTGACCATTATTGTGACCACTGTATATAGTAGAACACTAGAGAGAGGACGAATAGAAGCATGTCTGTAGAATCTGATGCTCTTGTTTTCTTTCTCCTACTAACATGTTCTCTGGTGTGTTGCTGCATCTTGTGTCTTTCATAACTTCTAATAAAACTGACTTTGCTCACCACAGCCTCTGTCTGTGTGCTCTTTCTCTTCATCTGTTTTTGAATGCATATGTGTGTTTTTCTGGTGAAATATTGAAGCCTGATGTTGGTGTGTGTTTGTGAGTTGGATGTGTTGTGGCTGACTGCTGTAACAGCTTGTCTTTTTAATGGAGGTGTTGGTCATGATTTTTCTGGGTCAGTGTTGCATCTTCTTCAGCCCTCTCCTTCCTTCCCCCCTCCATCAACCCCTCCTCGCTTTCCTGGATGAATAGTCAGGCTCAGGGGTCAAAGGTGAGAGGTCGCAGCAGAGCAGACTGTGGTAAAGATCGCAGTATCGGGAACCCACAGGATATTTCAGGGTTCATACGATCATAGGAAATTTTCAAATATTGGGATTTGAAGGATTTTTAAAATTGGAATTTTGCATTTCAATTTCTGTAGTGAATATAAATCTTTCTAGTTATGCTCAGCTCATCAAATGTTTCATTAGCTAGAAATTGCTGTTTTGTGAGTGCAGTCTCTATACAGTTTTAATATTTTTTTTATAAATAATAATTTATTTAATAATTTGTGAGTGCAGTCTCTATACAGTTTTAATATTTTTTTTATAAATAATAATTTATTTAATAATTTGTGAGTGCAGTCTCTATACAGTTTTAATATTTTTTTTATAAATAATCATTTATTTAATAATTTGTAATTGTTCTTATGCCGTAATCAGGAATTACTAGTGTCATTAAGAAATTGTGAATTTTTTAATTCATTTAATAAAATATTTATTCAAATTTATTCCAATAAGTTTGTAAATATGTTTGTATATTTATTCATATTTATTTAAATATGCTTGTAATCCATTTTGAACTAGCTTTAAATTCGAACTAAATCAAATTTTTGTTCTACTTTTGAATTTGTTAAAAGAAAACTTCCTAAAGTTGTGAATGAAGATAAATAAGGACTGTTTATTCTTTCTAGAAATATGAAAATAGCTCAAATTTAACAGTGGTCATGTGTAAGCCATATTTAAAGAGATTCCGCATTTTAGGTAAATAAATTTTTTTTTTTTTTTTACGCTTTGGAATTTAGCCATTTGTGGTGAAAGGTTAAATGGTTCATAATATTATTGTGGAAATAACCTTAAAGGGATAGTTCACCCAAAAAATAAATTGTCGTCATTTACTTACCCTAATATATTGTTCCACTTTAATTCATCAGAATATTTTTTAATATTCTCTTACTATTTTTGTCTATACATTGAAAGTCCATGCAACCAAAATTTTCAAGCTTTAAAAAGATCATAAAAACATTGTGAAGTATCGCATACGACTCAAGTGGAATAATCCAAGTCTTGTTCATCATATAACTATATGACTTATAGGTTATGGTTTGGAAACAAGAAACTTGCAGAATTTTTCATTCATCATTTTTGGGTGAACTGTCCCTTTAAATCTAACACCCCCAAGGACCATTTTTACAAAAGCAGGCAAGTGGTCACTGAGCCTGAGTGTGCTTAATAATGAGCACGTGTCAGTGGACGGTGCCCTCTTTCACTGTTGTGCAAATGAGCGTATGTGGTTTGACGCTGTAGCTTTTCTGTTCACAGGACGGCTCGGGCTCGCTGAAGCGCAGCGGTTCCTTTAGTAAACTGCGGGCCTCTATCCGGCGCAGCAGTGAGAAACTGGTCCGCAAGCTCAAAGGAGGGAGCTTACGAGATAACGAACCCAAAAACCCGGGGTAACTATCACCACTTCCCTCCCTATTCTCAGACCAAACCTCCCCTTTCCAATATCCCAAAACCTTCCCACTACGGACTAAACAATGGCTGGCAGGCGTGCGTGACACTGTGACCATTAAACCTCAAACACAACATACACTGGAAGAGCAGACTGACTTGTGGTTTAAAAACTGGGGAAGGGAAATGCTCAGTCAGACTTTTGGGAAGACAGTGTTCAGATTTTTTGATTAGAGTTTTAACTAAACTCTGAAGTAGATCTCAAAGAGCGTTAGGATCCTAGAGGGACAGAATGATCTGTATCACCAGATATCTGTCTGGAATTATGTCATTAGGCTTTCTAAAGGGTCATTGGGACTGTAAATATGGAAAGGCTGAAGTGAATTAAGGTGAATGTCCCAATCTGAATTATTCTTTTAACACCGGATGACACCAAAAAAAATTATTTTTCCCATCTCAAAGTTTTTAAAAGGGATTTATAGAATTATCTCTTTAATGTGTGGGGAGGTTTACTACATGGAGATGGAATTTTGCACATTGTGATGATGTTATATTGAAGGAAAGTCCTCGGCCGGTATATGCGAAGTTCTCTCTCACCCAGTTTTAAGTGGATGAAGGGATTTGCTTGCTTTATTAACTGGACTATTTTTTGCACATGTACAAACCTGCTTAACCCTGAATTGACATCTAACGTGACTGGTGACATTATGATGCAGTGTGTTGAGGTCGACGCACCTGTGTCTGTTACTGGGGTTCCTGTAGCATCTCATTTGCCAGATGTGACTAACTTTCTCTCCTTACCCTGTAAAATGCAATTTATGTTTTTATTTATTCCTTGCATTTTAACTTTATTTTCTGGCCAGTGTTATGATTATTTTATGCATTTTTGCTTGGTGACTTTTCTCGATGCCTTTTCATGTCTGCTTGGATCTGTTTTTTTATTTGAGGACTTTTATTTCTCTGTGCTGTTGTACATTTGTTTCATTTTGAATAAACATTTCCATGCAAATTTGCTGTCTGCTGCATGCCTGTTTCCTCCATTTTCTGTCTTGTGGTCTCATTTGCTGTGTTACCCAATTTTTTTTAACCTCTCTTCTCATTTTCATCTACCAACACCCTGGCAAAGGTCTTCTTTTTATTGTTTGTAATTCCCTTTACAAGTGACCCTTTTTGCAGGCTGTGACACATTCCCACTGTTGTTAATATAGTAAATGTAGAATTTTTTAATATTTTCATTTTTTAAAGGAATGTACATTTGTAACACTATACTTTGGGTAATATTACCTTTGGACCACCATGATATCTCAAAATATATCATGGATTTTATTTATTTTGCTATTTGAGCAAAGAGAAAGGCAAAAAAAAAATTTATTTTAGTCTCCAGTTCACTGTACGTATAGAAATGTAGCCAATTATGGCAAATTCTGCATCTGAGAATCCTGAAAATGTGAAAACGGTCCATTGCAGATCCGGTTTCGTGTCTGTTTAGTATATAATTTTGTGCAACGTTATTAAAAAACATTTTTTTCAGTCCTAAAGGAATAAACGTTCTGCCATCATATACTCACCCTCATGTCTTTTCAAACAGGAATGAAGACCATTTTTAAATAATTTTGCATCATTCATATTCAAACTAGCATGTCATGTTTGGTTATATATATCCGAAAACCAATGGCATTTTGACATCAACAATGTCAAACTTGGTGTAATACATTTACATGCAATTTATTAATTTGTTTGTGAAAAATAGAAACGTAGAACATGCTTGAAACAACATGGGGGTGAGTAAATACAGACACATTTGACATAATAAGTGACAAATCAGAGGATTGAATTGTAATATCTCAGCACTGGACATTTAAACATATTTTTTTGTTCTCTATAAAAATCTTTATTTGGGAGTAATTGGAGATTTGTCAAACTCTAAATGGTGAATGACTAATATAACACAGTATGTCATTGCATGTGTTTCCACTGTGCTGTTTTTATCTCGTTTCACATTGTAAGGTAACATCATTGAGTGAATGTTGCATTAACATATTTTAACCCACACATTCCCATCCCACAAACCCCACCGTGACCCCTCACTCCTGGCCTTTGACCTAACTGACGTGCTTGCATGTGGCTCTCTCGGAAGCAGCATGAAGAGGGCCAGCTCTCTTGGAGTTCTCAACGAGCCGGATAAACCTGTGGCTGAACTCAAAGTAAGACAACTTCCATCACTGCTCTCTCCTGACAGCTTTCTCTTCAGTTTCCCACTCAATCTGCTCTTGAATATACTTGTTCATTTCGGTCTCACACAGTACCTCCTGCTCTCTTGGTTTTGTTTTTCTGGCCCATCTGTCTGTCACTTTACAGTCTTTCAGTCTCATACTCTTTGTTTTGGGGGGCATCTATTATCAACACATCCACAGCTCTATCATTTACCATATTAACACACATTAATGAAATGAATGTGTGAGATCTCACAGAAGGCACAGACTAACACATTTAATCGTGTTTGCTAAAATCCTTCGTAACCACTGATGGTCTTGGGTTACAAAATAAACATTTTGTTAGGAAACTATCCTAAAGTTGAGGCATTGTTAGTGCATTTATAATGTCTAAAGAGAAGTGTGTAGGACGCTCAACAATTTCAGATGATCTTTTTCCAATTATTTGTTCAGTTCTTTGGTCTAAATCTATCTTTTAAGGATACTATGTAATGAAAAGGTAATTTTTAATATATTTTTGTGAGTCCACGTCTGTTAGCCCTGCAGCTATCTAAATGCTAACATACTCCTAAAAGTTTTATAACATTTTAGCAGTTAAAACGTACAGTCTTTCTTTTTTGTCCAATAAAATGCTTTCTAGAGCTCTTCCCCCTAAAACATGTTGCCAGTTACCATTAGCAAGTAGCAAATCATGGTTCGCAGCTGTGTCGTAAACGAAACCTAAGGTCTAAAATGAAGTGAAATGAACTTTATGACTGATAAAAAATATATATATATAATGAATGTGTATAGTACGAATGAAATCTGGACGTTCTACATTCTGTATGTAGTCATTGTCATGTGACTTATGCATTAGTTGCATCACTTCACTGCCATTTGTGGTGTGGCCTTATGGTATAGTTAAGTGTCAATTAGACGTGCACTTCAGAATCTCATGTTGCATACTAGTTTTCACATATTATATAGTATAGGAAGCCCTTTATGTCCCACCCCAACTTCCTGTTTGAAAAAGAAATACTGTAAAAAAAAAACTGGCTCTGTAAGTACTGCTTGGCCTGTTCTTGTTTCTCTTTGGGGGCTTCTTTCAGGTCACACCCGTCACCCAAATATGGCTACTTCCCTACTGTATAGTATTGATTCTTGGTCTTTTTTGCTCTGATTCCCACAACTCTGTGTCTTGGCAAAATGTCCGCTAATGCAATTTTCAACGTGTTAATTGATAATGGTATTAAATGGTATAAAATGTCAAATAGACTGCAAAACAAAGCTACAGTAGCCTATACAATTTTCTTGTAGTGATTCAGTTTACAAGAAGGTATGACGGATTTTGAGAGCGACATTACCCTGAACTTACTTCAGGATCTATCCGGGTCCATGTATTGTCTCTTTCTTTTCATTTCCATCAGGAACGAAATAATCGTCTAAGGAAGTCGCGAGACCTGAGTTCCAGTCACACTGACCTGGCGCATTGAAGGTCTGCTGTTGGACGTCCCGATGAAGAGAGGTACTAAGAGGTCTCATCATCAGGCTGAAGTGAACTGTGTTTTTGACCAGGACTACCTTCTCCGGCGGTTACTTTTGCTCTCGTGTCTCTGTATATGTATTTAATTTCTGGTAAGCTTGCTGTAGAAATGACAACTGATGTAAAAACTCAACCAGAACCAAAGTGCACAACAAATTTGAGATTGATGAAAATGTCAAAAACCAGAAAATCGATAATGCTATGCAGGCTCAGGTTGAGACTAGTCACTCTAATGGCATTTTTGCTGCTTTCATGTGGTTTATTTTCCTTTGTTTTATTTTGAGATGTACTTCGACGCTTTTTTTGAAACCAGCAACTATAGGACTGTTTTTATTAATGAAGGATTATAGTGACAGAGGTGTGCATATTTGTGTGTTTATAGACATAAGATAGTTTGGAGGGGGTTTTTTTTGTACCACTTTCCCTCTTTGTGACTTAATATTCTGCTATTGATGACTTTAATGTTGTTTATACCTTGAGTTACACTAGAGAACGCTTTTTTTGAAACCAGCAACTATTGGACTGTTTTTATTAATGAAGGATTATAGTGACAGAGGTGTGTGTTTATAGACATAAGATAGTTTGGAGGGTGGTTTTTTTGTACCACTTTCCCTCTTTGTGACTTAATATTCTGCTATTGATGACTTTAATGTTGTTTATACCTTGAGTTACACTAGAGGACCATGATGCTATGGATTCAATCAAACTTATTCCCTCGATAAAGAGAGAACTGCACCGTGTTTATGAAGGTCTACGTTTACATGAGTGATGGTTCAGTGATGCACATTTTCTTATTGCTTTTGAGAAGTGGAAAGGGATCTGGTTTATAATGAAAGAAATAGAAAAATAGTCAAAAGAAAATAATTTAAAGTGGTTTACACTGCCGTTGAGATCTATGTGGATTAAATCTCAGGACTGAAAGAACGGATTCATTATGCAAAGTAACTGCACTTTGAACTATCTCATAATGTTACACTATCAACCTTTTGCATGTTACAAAACTAAATTGAGGTGATTACCTCGGTTTTAATCGGTTACATTTGGTTTATAGATGCTTTTGGTTGATCTGTAAACTGAATATTACACGTTTTCATGAACGATAACAACAGGAAGTCTTTGTTATTTGTGAGTTAAAGCGACGCTGTTATCTAACATGGAGTTATAAGTACTGCTACTCCAGATTAAAATGCACTGGAACATGAATTCTGCCCCCAGATGTTTAACTACAGTACCTGTTTGAAAGCGGTGTGCCTTGTGAGTGCCTCAGGCATGGTCTTACTAATGACTGGAAGTTATTGATTTTGAGTGTGGCAGCAGAACAGTTTGAGCTCTGTAAGGTCAAATGTTGGTCACGGTTTTACGAAGTAAATATAAATTTTTAATACTGTGGTCAAATAAAAGCCCACTATATATATATATATATATATATATATATATATATATATATCAGTGTATCGTGTCATGGATTTGTTAATATAGTGCACTGCTCAACTGGCCTTCTTGACTTTGTTTATACTTTCTTTGTTCTCTTTATCCATGTAACTCTTTCTATGGGTGTAATATATTACTGTCTCGTGCAGTAATTCGTTCATCTTATGTGTACAAGTGTTTTTTCTGTAAAACGCATATTAATGCTCTGCATTGTGACTATGTGCAATAGGGTAGCTGCTGTGTGTGTTGGCTGGTTTTGATCTCACATGCAATGTTTTACTGACAAAAGCTGGAATATCTGCTTGGCTTGTGTTTCGGTTATCTTTGTACTCTAAACGAATAAATATATCATTTACATTTTTATACATCGAGTATTCAGTAGTTTTATGTCACTAATTTGAGCTTTGTTACACACTTGTGGGACTAAATGTGCCTTTCACATGTTCACACAAATGTTGCACAAATTTGATTTTCAGATGGTTTATGTTTTGCGTTTTTGACTGTTGATCAGTTTGTTGTATTTTTATTTTTTTTTACGGGGTTACTGATGTGGCACTCACTCCCAGAGGTCTTTAATGCTCAATCCATATGCAATTGCATTGTTTTTGTTTATTTTCTTTACATTTTGTAACCCTAAATTGCTAAATATACGCTCGAAAGTTACAATTAATATTACCAAGAGAAAATATAGCATAAAAAATTACTGTATGTAGTATGTAATAGCAGGGACTGTTGTGACCTGTATGATATAACCCTGACATTTATTTTTGTGGTTGTTGATGTTGCATTTCTACTGTCTGTCTCTGTCTTCTACCATTTGTGTTCATAATGTTTTGTATCATGTTGTTATACGTGTGTATATTTGTGTGTATTCTGGACTTTTCACTGGACTCGTGTATCTTCCACTTTCTCAGGCTGCCGCTGTGCTGGCCACACTTCATTTGCTGCCATGTTTGTGGTGATGTGTGTTGCTCCGAATATCGTATGGTAAAGTGTACATACTTGAATAAAGACAACAGAAGTACTCTACTCCTGTAAGATTTTCTGGGTTCTGGTTCTCCCTGTTGGCACGTCGACTTGTATTATAACTTTTTCCTGGTCATTCTAAGTATTTTATGTTCTGTGTTCTATGTGCTTATTTATGGGGTGTGTGATGAAATGTATTGATTTATCTTTACAATCTTACCTGGAACACAATGGGGAGAAGAAAATCATTTCTAGCACATGGCAGACAGCTACAGATAGTGGGAAGAGAAACGACTTGGAAGGAATAGTTCACCCCAAAATGAAAGTTAGTTACTCTCAGGCTGGCTGTCTAAGATGTGGATGAGTTTCTTTATCAGAACCGATTTGGAGAAATTTAGCATTACATCACTTGGTCACCAATGGATCCTCTGCAGTGAATGGGTGCCGTCAGAATGAGAGTCCAAACAGCTGATAAATACATCACAAGTAATCCACAAGACTCCAGTACATCGATTAATGCCTTGAGATGTGAACAGCTAAAATGCAAGTCCTCTGTCCATAATATGGCTTTTCCAGTGAAATATGCACAGATCCAGCACCATTTACAAGCCAAAACTGTTCTAAACAAATGTGTCATTGGATTTTGATATAAAAGGACAACTGGGCATGGACTTTTTCACTGGAGGAAGCATTATTCTGGATTATGGACTGATATTTAAACTAAGGTTTAAAGTTAAAATGCCTTTATGAATGTTTCTTACAAACAATCAGGTTTTTACTTCACAAGACAATTGATGGACTGGAGTTGTGTGGTTTACTTGTGGATTATTGTGATGTTTTTATCAGCTATTTGGACTCTCATTCTGACGGCACCCATTCACTGCAGAGGATCCATTGGTGAGCAAGTGATGTAATGATACATTTCTCAAACTGATCCGATGAACAAACAAGCTCGTCTATATCTTGGATGCTCTGAGGATGAGTACATTTTCAGCAAAATGTATTTATTTTGTGGGTGAACTATTTCTTTAAGAGATGTTGAGCATAATAATAAGGTATAAACACAGGCTTTACGTAATCGATAAATATTGCTCAAGTCAAAAAGTCCAAAACTTGTACTTGCTTTTCAAAACCAAAATGACAATGCTGAGCATTTAGGAAACACATTTATTGCACTTGATGGATGCTTTTATTTGAATAACTTAAATACTTTTAGGCTTCTACTATTCAACATAGTAAAAGTGTATTTTGTCATTTTCAAATGGTCAAAACAACAGTAACGAATACAGCAAACTAGACTACTAATAACATACATTGCATTGATCTTTCTTCAAACAGATACAGAGAAAAACATGATTATAACAGCATTCCCACGTTTCACAACTTAGATCAAACCAGTAATGTTCACTAGACAGCAGTGAGGATATTTAATCACACTCATCTTTGGCTAGATGGACATGTTTTCCCTTATTCAGGCTACATACAACTATCTTCAGTTTTCTCTTTTTACAAAAGAGCCAATGCAAAGACCGCAACGTCTATGTAAAAATATGACAACCCTTATGAAAGTAATGCAAAGATACATAATAAAACTAGATAACCGATCTCCTCTTATTCGTACTGTTGTTGACCCTCTCATTGTTTCATATAGGCAGACCTTTCCTTCAATACTTTTTCTTTTAGATTCAAAGAGATGTAATACTGCTTAAACCCATTGCACTCATCTTTGGCTAGATGGACATGTTTTCCCTTATTCAGGCTACATACAACTATCTTCAGTTTTCTCTTTTTACAAAAGAGCCAATGCAAAGACAGCAACGTCTATGTAAAAATATGACAACCCTTATGAAAGTAATGCAAAGATACATAAAACTAGATAACCGATCTCCTCTTATTCGTACTGTTGTTGACCCTCTCATTGTTTCATATAGGCAGACCTTTCCTTCAATACTTTTTCTTTTAGATTCAAAGAGATGTAATACTGCTTAAACCCATTTTAAACTGAAGTCCTTAATTTCCCCCCAAAACAACAATACTGATGTCTGACTACCACACGGTTAATAGATCACCTAAATGCTGCTTTCTTCTTTTACATCCACTTGCCTGTGTGTCATTTGCATCACAGTGTACAGCTGATCCATTCAGAGCTTGCTGTCAATGAACCAAAGGAACTCAGTCATATCTGCATGCACACCAAGATGAAATGATGGAGAAATGATATTCAGTGACTCACAAAGCCATTCCCATATTGGGTGCTAAAAAATCAAGACAAATCTTTGCAACTCTTACGCATAAACAAATTTAACAATATAAAATGAGTTGAAGTGATGCATTCATCTTTACATAAAAACCCTACCTTTCTCTAGGTCTGTACAAAGAGCCTCGCTTTTATCATGCTTTGACATGCAACATTTGAGCCCACCAAAGGTTTACTTGTTTCAGAAATAATTCAATTCTCGACACAGCTGGGAACGAATGAAATGACTATTGTGAACTAAACTGATAGGACAATTATGGATGTTTCGATATATAATTTGTCTACTGGAGTTGTAAATGCTCATGTGTTTGTCTCCTGACAATACAAACAGAAGGAAGTGCGTCCCCAATTCCCAGATGTTCATGATTGCCTGTCACAAAGTAATTATGAACCAGACCTAAAATGTGTCTGTATTAACAGCAACAGAATCAGTGGGAAGACTAAATATGGTCTCACTGGACAGAATAGCAACAAGATGATGCGAAAAAATGTTTTTAAATAAATATGCAAACATGTTATCTTCTGCTACTTCTACTAAATACTGTTTTGTCGACATCCCAACCATGTACACTACTACACTGCAAATCATACATAATATGCATCTGAGAAGCTGAAGCTAACAGCACAAAACACAGAACAATCTGATAGATAGAGTTGATGGGACACATACAGACAAACAAAAAGCCAGATAAGCTTTTTGGGAGTTAGGTGAATATGTAAGGCACTAAAGTCTCAAATCTCGTCTCCATTTCATCAAGGTGCCTGGAAAAGTCCTGAGGAGTCTTGTTCAACAGATCTATGGGGAAAGTAGCTACCGTAAACCCTCCTCTTCAGTGGCATCACCTTCCTCATTCAAATGTGTGCTTGCAAATTCATGTCTTTAAATCCCTTTTATGAGTGCTAAAGCCCCAAATGACTTATCTTCCTGGTATTGCAACACCAGTATGTGCAGGATTTTCCTCACCTTCCAATCGTTCTTTTGGAAACTCGCGCTCTTTCTCTGGACTCTTCTGGGTTTCGAGATGATGGATGGAAACAGGAAGAGGAGTTTACAGAGGTGACCTCATTTCCCTTCTGTCCTTTTCAGACAGTGATGAATCCCCTGTATGCTCAGCCCCAAGATCAGGTGTAGACCCTTATGCCTCCTAGATTGGTTGATGTTTTCTGGCAGGACTATGGGGAGGGGGTTACATGGCAACAGCAATTTATAGTTTGATGAATGGGCCGAAGTGATGGGGCGCTCTGATCTTGGGTGAGGAGCAGGAGTTGGAGGATAGAGATGGAGAAGTGGAGAACGGAGGAGATGACGAGAGGGCATCTGAACTCAGAGAGAACACTGTGGAGATGGCCACATCCACGATGCCTTGACACAGCTCAGGGTAGAGTTTCCTACAACAGGGAAAACCTTAATATCAATATTAAACTTAAGAAGCAATTGTAAGGGGGAAAAGAAGCTTTAGCAACTGCAACCGTAGTCTAAAAATGAATGAATGTGCCAGTCACATTTTTTTTTTAATCTAAAATGTGCTGCAAATTTTTTTCCCAAAACTCCTTGTGGCGACACATGCAGTATGTGGAATACGTAATGCATCAAGCCACTCGATATGAAAATAAGGGACAAAATCATGATCATTTTCACGAGACTGTGTACTCACTGTGCACAGGCAGGTGCCCCGTTGATCTCAATTAGCCAGACTTTAAAGCTTTCGTCCAGCATGAAGTCGAAGCCGAAGAGCTGGAAGCTCTGGTAGGACAGGTGCTTCGTGCTGATGGCTGGCTCGATGCATGCGAGACAGCTCCTGTTGAGACAAGACGCAGGATTTCAGACGAACACCACAGGTAGTTAGACATCCTCAAATGAAGCATTTTTGTAATGGATCAGTGAGCTCAGTCTTGAAGAACAATGTTATAATTGACCTCTGATCTAAATGTTATGTTCATCTGGTTACTGAAGGTCACATTGCCAGTATATAGTGGGGTGCAAATATCTGAGTGAAAATCTGTTTTATTTATTTATTTTGCATTAGTTTTAGTTTTTGCAATAGTAGAGTGTGGTGCTAGAAATGCCAAGGTAATAGGTTCGATTTCCAAGGAAAGCAATAACTGATTAAAAAAAAAATTATTATAATAATTGTGTACCTTGAATGCAATGCAATCTCTTTGAATAAAAGCCTCAGTCAAATGCATAAATGTAAACATTTAAAACACAGAAGTGACTAAATGAGTAGGAAATATTCAAGATTCTGCACTAATTCTTCTTGTGAATTTCATGTCAGCTTGTTTCTTATTTCTCAAAAATTTTCACTGACATTTGTAAGCTGTAATGTAATTTGCAACAGCGTTGCTGACTACAACTATTAAAGATCACTTTTGTTCACTGAAATACAGCTGAAACAAAATTAACATCAACTAACTCAAATAAAATAAGTCAAAGTACTAAAACTGAAAACAAATAATAAAAGCACATAGATTTACACAAATTTGAATTTAAATAAATATAATAATAATAAAGGTCGATTCAAAATATTAAGAAATAGTATACAATGTAATACAATAATGCCTGATTTGTAAAACTTTTACATTTGAATAATTCAAGACCCCACTGTACATCTCTAACACAAAAAAATCTTTTTTTTCTACCTATATAACTCAATTTGCAGGCACACATGCAATCAGATTTGAAAACAAGGTGAAGGCGCACCTGATGATATGCTTGATCTGAGGTAAAATAGATGTTTCCATGGCAACGCTGTGTGTGGTCAACAGGTACAGTCTGAACTCATCAAAGAACATCTCGTTGCCCTCCTCAAAGCGGCCGTAGTTCTGCGAATGCTCCTTCTGGATGCAGTGATTGGTCAGGTGACTGGTCATGTCCTGCAGATCCGCGCTGTTGTAGGGCTCAGACGACGTCCTCAACACTCCCTCACGGTACAAGTAGATATTATACTGATGGTCTACAAGCACCCAACTCCTACAGACAAGACTTTATAAGTGCTTTGACTTCATTAGGATGGGGCATTGCAATTCTATGCTTTTCTGTAATCACATCAAAAACATTCTGCACAAAGGATTATAGGTCTCATCGTACCTTATATCAAATTTACGATGGCCCGGCTCCAACAGCAGTGGTCTTTCCAGATACTTCTGAATGACATGCACTTGGCCTTGATTATCGATGAACTCAAGCAACTGGTTCGCATCATGAGATATCAATATACCGGCACCTGAACAAAGGGAGCAATAATCTCGTACTATGAAATCGTGTAGCAAGATTACACTTCTTTAAACTTGGCATTTTAGACCGAAGGAGATTTGTACCTTTGGCACCTGCTGATGACTTGGCGATCCACACCGTTCCCTCTCCGCTTTCCTTTCTGGAGTTATATGAAGCTAAGAAGACCTCCCGCTCATCTGTCTTTGGGTTGCTCTTCATGTGGCTGATGCCATTGGTGGCCGGGGCCACTGGGGTGTTGAGGTTGGTCGGGTATATGATGTAAGACTCAGGGAACCAGTTACAAGAGTCCTTTAACTCTGGACTGGTCTTGATAATCCTAAACATCAAACATGCTTATTTAAATATAATTCACAACTTATGAACGGCAGAGTTTCTAACTCTATGACATGGTATAAAGGAAATAAGTGTGATTTGAAGACAACACTCCATTATGCAAACATTATCACTCGTAAGATCATTTCAAAGATCTCATTAAAGTCAACTGAGGTTATACAGTAAATCTGAACAGGAATTTCCTTCATCTAATATATCTTTAAATAAACAGCGTACTTGACCAGTGAAGCTTTGCGGCACAGTTTATCGGCTCCTCTGTAATAATTCACCAGCTGCATCAGTCCTGGTTCATGACCTGTAGAGGACATTGTATTTGACATTGAAATATCGAAATATTGAGCAGTGAAGGCAGTGTCCTGCAGCTAAAAATACAATTTTGTAACTCAACAACAATTATAATAAAACAATAAAATAACAATAATAAATGTGTCTTGAGCAGCATATCAGCATATTAGAATGGTTTCTGAAGGATCATGTGACACTGAAGACTGGAGTAATGATGCTGATAATTCAGCTTTGCATCACAGGAGTAAATTATTTTTTTAAATACTGTATATTAAAACAGATAAGTTATTTTAAATTGCAATAACTTTTCGCAATATTACTGATTTACTGTATTTTTGATCAAATAAATGCATCCTTGAAAATCCTTAATCTTTTCATAATTTTGTGTGTGTGTGTGTGTGTGTGTATATATATATGTGTGTGTGTGTGTAGTTTAAGTACACATTATTTTAAGTTGATGTAAACATAATTGCATGTTACTACACAGTTACAGCTCCAAAGCAATGCAGTTACACTTTATTTAAAGGTGTCCTTGTTACAGTGTGATTATACATTTAAGTACTGAGTATTATTAATTAACTACAAGTACTTATATGGTAAGGGTTTGCTTTAGGGTTACTTGTATGTAATTATACATAACTTATTGTTATTATAAAAGTAAGTACATGTAACATGTGTAACAAGGACACCTTAACGTTTTACCGAATGCATTATAGAGTTGAATCTTTGTGATCAGCATTGATGTGTCCAGTGTTCAATTATTAATAGTGGTTCCATCATTCGTTATCATTAATTTAACAGCTTGTACTGTCCAAAGTCTCCAATAAAGCACGATGTGCTGAAAATATGCAGAGGTTAGGAGTATTATAACAACTTGCTGAGACTCATAACTTTCAATGCAAACATGGATACAGCATGGGGTTATAAAACATATCATATTAGGAGATGGCAATGCATGTTTAATATGCAGCTCTTGTTGAAATCGTTTACCCAGACGTCCGAAAGGCAGCCGATTTCTCTCTCCCAACATTAAATTAAACCGAGGATTGTCCTTCTTCAGTCGTTTCCATTTTCCAGTAGAGATGAGGATCTTGGCGACCTCGGCATACACAGTGCTGTTATCGTCTCTCAAAACAAGCGTGTACATCGGTGAACTCATATTCCTCAGTCTTCTGCTGAACGCCCAGAGGAGCGATGATGATCGCACACGAGCTAGCCGACTAGCGTTATCTGTCTCCCAACAAAGTAGACCGACACCGGACATACATGGCTTTCTTGTTGCTTCTTCGTTGTTTTGCACGGAGATCTTCACATTAAATCAGTAAGTCGCGCTGTGATCCAGACAGAAACGCAGGGCAGGGCATCTGTAAGTCACCCGCAGTGAATATTAGGGTGTGACTCTTGAAGGATTTGCCTTCTGGATTCTCGCACGTGAACCTGTAGGACTCGCAGTGAGAGTGGTTGTCCAGGCGGTGGCGCGCGTGATCTTAGTGTGCAGCGACCGGAAGCTGCGTGGATCGGCGCAGGTCATGCAGGAGGCGCGAGGTTCGGCCAAAGTTATGGTTGTTTTGTTTCACATCGCTGTATAGACTTTCAGCTTTTTCTTTACAGCATTTTCACACAAGAAATACGTTTAACCCAGAGGTAGGTTTCTACTTTCCTCACCCAAAGCGAACACGGGAGTGTGTTTGAAGCTGCATTTGTGATTTGTGTTCCTGCTGTCAGCTCACGTTAAGAGATGGAAGCACGTTGTCCTGTCTTTCTGAATATCCTGCACATATTTCCTACTGGGACAATGTGCTAAAACCCGCTGAGACACTATTCGTAAGATCGTAATTTAGTACATTAATATAGTTCGTGTGAAAGTGGGTTTTCGTGTATTATTACTTCACTGTCACTTAACGTTTGTGTGGGCATGCTTAAAAGTATTGTTAGTAAAGTAAAATTCAAGCGTTTATACACGCATGTCTATTCTTTATCATGAACATATTTTACAATTTAAAATAATAAGCCATCAAAACAACTAAAAAGCGCCAAGTCACAGGAACTGTGTACAGACATGTTTTTAAACGCTGTTGAATAAGCTCACATGTATGGTCTACTCTTGGCTGTTTTTCCTCATTATCAAGCCCAACCCATCCATTTTTTTTTAACGTTTATTTATTTATTTATTTATTAAAGAATAACAACAGTTTTGCAAAGACTCTTTTTATTTTGTATATGGATATACAGACATTTTATATTGGTCTACAAACCTAATTTCAAAGTTTTGATAAGGCTTATGATTGAAAGATCTTTAAGATTATGAGAAAAAAATGTAGACAAGCATGTTGAAATATTGACTGGTATTGCACTTTATACTATCTCTCTCTCTCTCTCTATATATACGTACATGCATACATACATATATATCCAGTGTAACTTACTGGTTACTGTCATTAGATGTAATTTATACAGTATATACATATAAATGACTGTCTCACTTATCAAGACAGTAGGCCTGGGCAATACAGAATGAAGAAAATACAGGCTATATATCAGTTATTTTCTGCCTTTTGATGACATTTAATATATTCCAATCGTGACATTGTAGCGAAGTCAAAATGTTTCAAAAATGGTTTAATGCAAAAGGTATAATACCATTAAAATGATCAAGACATTTTATCCACACTGTTCATCACATAAATGAACACAGGGAAGAGTGATATTTTCGTTAATATTCATTATATATATATATATATATCACATGGTTTTTAATACATAAGAAGTTTTTTTTTTTTTTGAGTCATAATGAAAATGAATCAGTTTTGAGTTGATTCACTAAAACAGTTCTCAAAAGTCACACAGGAAACCTAATGGCCACCTAAGTGTGTAAGTTATTATGATATTCACAGTTGCTTAATTTTTTATATCATATTTTATACAATTATGAAAATAACAAGAATATTTGCTGTCGCTCAGCCCTAGAAGAATTTCCATGCTATTGTTGTGTGGTACTTCTCTTTTTTTAAAACATTATTAATTGATCCTGTGCCCACTTCTTATGCAGACTGGAGCAGGCCAGCCATGAGTAGAGCACACCTGGACGAGTGGCAGAGGAGGTCCTTTGACATTTCGTCTGGCTCCTGTACACCTGAACAGACGGCCGATGCTTACCGGGCACACGTCCTGTCCATTCAGTATGCATGGGCGAGTGCTGAGCTCTCTCCGGCCGGAGCTGCCAGCCTGCTCAGGACCTACTCGGAGCGGTACGCCGCAGTCCTGGACTCAGACGACCCACGCACAGGGCTAAACAACTATGCAGAGAGTGCCCTGCACCTGGCCCGCAATCAAAAGAACCATAGCGACAAATGGGAGTCGTCCCTAACGTTTGAAAATGTGTTCAACCTGCCGTGCGTGCAACGGATGATGCAGGCCAGGTCAAAAGAAGGCTCTCTCCTGGTAGATCCGGCAGATGTTAACATCACTGTTGGTGGTGAAGTCAGCAGGGGAGATGAGAAAGGCAGTGCTGTCTCTGGTCCTCCTCCTGGATTAAAACGAGAGCCTCTGGCTCATGGGCCCGCTGCGTCTCCACCTAGAGCTGAGTTGGGAAGGGGGGTCAGTAACCCACTTAGCGGTGCTGTAGAGTGGGCCAGAGGACTTGAAGTAGCCCCTCCTCGTATGTCTCTGGCACAAAATGCTCCAAAAGCTCCAACAGGATCTACGCCTATGTTTGGCCATAACATTTTCAGTTCCACAGGCAATGCTAGTGTGTCTCAGTCTAGTGTGGGTTGCACAAGTGGATCCAATGTGCATAATCAGCCCGTGTTCTTTTCCTCCACAAACCCCTCCAAGAGGAAGAACTTCTACAGCTCAGGAACTGAAAGCAACAGAAGCTCATTCCCGTCACAAGGCGAGCAGGAACTGCGAGGGAGGGGACGGAGAGGAGAGGAAGGTGTCAGCACTAATTTTAGATCAGCACGAGAGCAGTTCATCGTTGACCAGCAAAAAAAGCATTCCCATCAGGGTCAGCGAGGCTCCGCGGCCAACGTTGCTGCAATCACCAAGAAATGCCTTGGGGCGAATCGGTCTCGTGGGGCGGCCTCCAAATTCGTCCCTCCCATGCCAAGGCAAGAGGAAGAGGGCAACTCAAAGGAAAATGCACCACAAGACATGCAACCTGTTGATGAGCGACTAAAGAACTTTGAGCCCAAAATCATTGAACTTATCATGAGTGAGATCATGGACCATGGCCCCCCGGTAGCTTGGGATGATATTGCCGGCCTGGAGTTTGCCAAAGCCACAATCAAAGAGATCGTAGTGTGGCCCATGTTAAGACCTGATATATTTACTGGCCTTAGAGGTCCACCTAAAGGCATTCTTCTCTTTGGTCCTCCAGGCACTGGTAAAACCCTTATAGGGAAGTGCATAGCATGTCAGTCGGGAGCCACTTTTTTCAGCATCAGCGCTTCGTCACTCACTTCAAAGTGGGTTGGGGAAGGCGAGAAGATGGTACGGGCACTCTTTGCCATCGCTCAGTGCCACCAACCTGCCGTCATCTTTATTGATGAGATCGATTCCCTTCTTTCTCAACGCACAGATGGAGAGCACGACTCTTCCCGTCGGATCAAAACCGAATTTCTTGTCCAGCTGGATGGAGCCGCCACCTCAGCAGAAGATCGCATCCTGGTTGTTGGTGCCACCAACCGGCCACAAGAGATTGATGAAGCAGCTCGCCGTCGCCTGGCCAAGCGACTCTACATACCTCTCCCAGAGGCTGAGGCTCGCCGGCAGATAGTGACTAACCTCATGTCCCATGAGAAAAGCCAGCTGGGAGCAGATGAGATGGAGAAAGTGATGCAGGGCACAGAGGGCTTTTCAGGGGCAGATATGACACAGCTGTGTTGCGAAGCAGCCCTAGGCCCCATCCGAAGCATTCATCTAAGTGACATTGCTACCATCTCAGCAGAACAGGTTCGGCCGATACTCTACAGTGACTTCCAGGAGGCTCTCAAAACAGTGCGCCCCAGTGTCTCTTCTAAAGATCTGGAGTTATATGAAGAGTGGAACAAAACATTTGGCTGTGGTCGCTGAGTGCATGTGTTCTGATTATATCAATTGAGTTTTACGTTAGCGTGACTATAATGTTGGGTTCATTTCTTGAAATAAATTGTCAATTTGAGTCTTTTTTCATCTTTTTCATGAACATTTTTCTCAGAGAGCTGTGAAACAAAGAAAAACAATCTCTGTTTTTTGTGATTGCAAAAAAACTGACATTTCTGCAGTTTCATATTAAGGTATTCATGCAGCCACAATTGATTGACTCAAAACAGCACTCAAGATTTTGTAAAACTGAGCTTGTTACTCTAGGCCTTCCCTCAAAATTAGCATACCACAGTTGTGTCTTCCTGAAAACAGTTGCATCACAGAGTGGAGCTGCAACTCTTTTCCTTGTAATATAGAGGAAATGTGCCAAGTTTGCACTAAAAAGGAACATGGGGTCTTGAGTTTGTTGTTTCCTTCTGAATGCACTTATCCAAAAGGGAACTGTCAGCTAGTACAATGTTCTGCCCGCCCTACCTTCTGTGTGTGCAGAATAAATTCAACGGTTCTCCATGTTTACCTGCTCTCGCTCCTGTATAGACAGAGCGTTGACACCTTAGGGCCAACTCTCCCATTGTGTTGTGCCTTGGTGAATGGATTTGGAGGGGAAGTTGGGCAACACTGCAGGCATTCTGGTCTCATGATAAGTGTTACCCACAGATCAACTCTTGCAGTGCTCTTCCTGTTGCTAAGCCAGTGTGGTCTCGGACCACATCTGGTAAACCAGAGGAATGGCTTTGTGCCTTGGAAGGGGTTTTAAAGATGGACTCTTCATCCTCCTCCTAGAGGACAGTATGGTTGGTTTAGTTTTTTTCAGTTACACATTGTGCCTATGGAGATGGCCATCCGATCAATATTCAGTCTTTTTTTTCTATCAGAACAGGAGAATCTATTTTTGTGTTGTTTTCTTAGACTGTTGTTTTCTGGTGAACTCAAAGTTGGTGGGAAACCATCAGAGTTGCTATTTTCATAAATTCTTAGAGAGACCCATTGATGATGACACCAGCCATAAACCTCACAAAAACAATTATGCATTATAGAAGCAGATAACAACTGTGGCTTGATGCGTTTACTGTTGATGGATGGAGAGGAGCATTGTGGAGCTCTAAATGAGTGGCCGCAGATGGCATGAGGAATAAAAGTTGCTGGTCCAGTGGTGAGGAAACTCACCAAGGCCAAATAACAAAGTAATGAATGAATGAATTTGAACATGAATGGTGTTGGTCAGGTTACAAAATATGATGCAGTTTTGAATTCATTTGTTTGGATTTTTAGTTGTATTTTCAGTAGGCTTTGAATTCTGTCACTTTATTTGGATGAGGCTGGCTTCCCTGAAATGTCTTTCTGTTTGTTGTTTGTATGCCTATGCATTAGCATAACATCTTCATCGTCAAAGTACAACTGATTTGTGTTAGAGTGAAACGCAAGGTCTGTGTTACGTGAAACCTGATGACTGCAGTCTGGGAAAATTGAAATGGAGATGGCTGATTGATTTGGTTGCTTCTTGCAACTGCAAAACCATTCTTAGGGGAAGCCAGGCTGAACTGTTAATACACCTCAGAAGGCGAGTGGGATTTAACAGTCTAATTCAATTCTAAACTCTGACTCTTGGGTTGTCTTCATCTGCATCCGATTATAGATTGTCCTCACATGAAATGAATCAGTCATGCAATTTTCATGAAACAATCTTAGAAAACTGGAAGCCCATGAAAAAAGGGTGTCATTTTATTTTTCATCTTTTTGTCAAGCGGCTTAATGAATATTTTAGGGTTGCGCGGTTGGCCAGAGTGTTGAAACTTTGTAAAATTAGCCAGCAGTGCAAGTAGTAAGTCCTTCCCTGAGGAGCAGTGGAAGGCTGTCAGAACAGCAGGGGTAGCCTGCAGCTGCACTATAGGAGGACAGGCACACCGAATTCCTCCAAAACCTTTCTCGACACTATATCTACAGCTAATATTAACCTTTGCATTATTTATTTTCTAGTTTGTCTTAAGCTCACTGTTATTTTTAAACAGTTTTTAGATTTTCCTTGAAAATATCCTTTGGTGCTGACATAACATTGTTTTTATTAAATGGCTAATGCCAATGTTCACTATAATGCTGATATCTAATAGTCTTTAATATTAAGTGTACATATAAGGTGCAATAAACGTACTTATTTACTCATAATTCACAAAAAATATGTTGTGTTTGAGACGCAAGGGGCATTGATTTTTCTGCCTGACCAGTTTATTTTTGTTTCTTATTACTTGGTTTTGATATCTTTAAAGTTTCTCTGAATGGGTGTGGTCTATTTGTGCTGTATTATCATAAGTCGAAGCGGAAAAGAGAAGTGAGATTCGGGATAGAGGCTGATGGGGATGGGGTGGTGTGAGGTGGTGTTGGCCAGATTATCCCTCTCATGCAAATGCACTCTCTCCACGGTTAGGTCCCACTGAAGCGTGGGGGCTCTGCTTTGGCCACAGCTGCTTCCCGTTTCTACCCAATCACACAACAGCCATCTGGACATATTGCTGTCATTGCAAAGAGCTGGTGAGCTCTTGGGTCGGGCTCACTCTTGCTCTCTTGACAGATCTGTTCTTCTTTAGTTTATTCCACCTCCCTTTGGTCATTGCATACTTTTACAAATGTCCATTATTGCCTGACTGCAAATAATTTTGAAACATTTTAATTCACAAGAAACATGTCAATTGTTGTCACCTTAGAAACCTTAGAAACGATGAGTATTTTGCTACTTCACAGTGCTGTAAATGTTGTTTCAACCCTACAAATGAAATCAGCCTGAAGACTTTTTAGCATAATTTTAGTTATAGAATGCAATTATTCAGTTGTTAGTTGTAACCGATGTATTGGGTTTTATTCTTAAATTCTTATGTAAATTTAGCAGTCTTTTATGCAAAATTGCCTAAAAGGTGACAAATACCTTTAGCTAATGTTCATTTAGCTCAGTTGTTTAGCTAAAAAGTGATTATCTACAAGTGTGATGCTTGGACTTGCATTCTGTATTATATAAAGATTAATAATTAGTTCTGTACTAATTATTTTTGCATACGTTCTTTATCTATGAATATAAACTTCATTCCATAATTTTGTGAGATACTCAATCTCCATTAGCAAATTTATTTAAATGTTAAAATTACCTTTACAAAACTTGACACATTATCAAAGGTTGAACAAATGTAAAATATTTTATTTTTTGCAAGCATATATATTCTAGGATGTTAATGTAAATATGTATGAGTAAAATGCTTTATTTAAACTGTATTTGTAAATACAATATAAAACAAGCAAGGAAAAAAGATGTGAAATTTAATTTAAAAAATGTGTACTGCCATATATTTTCAATATACAGGGGAACATTTCAAAAGGGAGTCATGTTACATAAAATGGACAAATCGTGACATTATTTCATTGTAATAAATTATAAAATGATAGCTTCAGGCTGCTTAATATAAAAAAATATATATTTAAAATGACGAGTAAACTGTTGGAACACAGGAAAGAGAGATACATGAGTTTACAACACATATTGCAAATAATATTTTATAACTTTAATTTTAGCATTTAATTATTATTTTTCATCTTAGTAACTGGGCAGCAAAAAAGTCACATTTATATGGGATTATTTAAAAATGTACTTTCAAACACCTAATTTCTATTTTCAGTTACAGTTTTTTCTTTTTTAAAAGTCTACATACAAGTCACACAATTGTAGAAAAATAGACAAGACAACGAAATATATAGGCAACTGTATGTACAAAGAAAAACCAATGTTACACGAAATGTAAAAAAAAAAAAAAATCCAGTGTTTGGACAGTGTCTAAAAAAATCCTGAAATGTTGAATCGGTTGTGTGTGAGTGAATGTGTAGTCAAGCGTATGTGGAACGTCTCTGTGTGTTAGAAGCGGTGCTCTCCACGCGTGATGTGCGATGAGAACTCGTAGCGGTCCTGACTGCGGTAACCACACAGGTTACACTCGAACGGGTCTCGGAAGCCATGGCATCCCATGTGGATGGTGTACATGACGTGGTCCAGGAACAAAACTCTGCAGTGGACACAGCGGTACGCCCTCAACTCTTCTCCCTCTCCGCTCAGCACCTTAAACCCCTCCGATGACGCCATACTCGGCTCCATTCCCACTGCCCGCAAGGCCTCGAAATGCCGCTGCTGCTCTTCCTTTACCACTGGCAGACCTCCGTTACGCATACCTGGAGCCATGTGATTGGTCAGGTAGATGAGACCCCCTGCGGCTGCTGCCGTGCCTCCCCCAGCCGCCCGCTCCTCGTTGTTGCTCTCGGTGTCAGTAGAGTCCTGGCCGCTGGGGCTGGGCGAGCCATCCTTCTCCATGGAGGCCGATTTGGACTTGGACAGCAGAAGGAGATGCTCTGCGGCGCTGTCCTTAGCGGACACGCCATTGCCTTCGGCTGATTGTGTCTTGTGGAGGTTGTAAATAGGGCTGACCACCATGTCGGAGGAGCCAGGGGAGGTCTGAACCAGAGGCCGCAAGGACTCCGCTCCCAAATAGCTAATCGCACTGTTGATGGCCTGATCAATGACGTGAGGCTGCATGAGCTCACCTGAGCCGCCCTCGAATGACAGCTCCGACAAACGATTCTCTCCTGAGGAAGAAAGCCAAAAGAGCAAAGGTTTTTAACTCATCTGAGTTCTGTGAAATGTAAAATAAGCACTGATTTATTTACCAGTAAACCATTACTGGTAAGCACAATTTCTGACATTTTTCTTGTCTTTGTAATATCATTCATTATTATTACTGGGGAACCCTTTGGAGAACTTCTAGGTGCCCTTTAAAAACAGAGAGTTCTGAAATAAATGGAGTTCTTGCATAAAACTCAAAAAAGACTGTTAGCTGAGATGGGGTTCCTTGATGCGCTGACAGTGTTTATCAGGGTTCTCTATCAACAAACATTCTTCCCCTAATATTATTAAAGTGTATGTTGAAAGTTCAAAGGTCTTCAAAATTTTCTTAAAATGGTAGCACTAAAATATTATTTATGCATTGTTCATTTGAAACTTTTCCTGAAACATTTTAGTTGGACGTTGGTTTAATATTTTTTAAATGTTACTATTGTTTCTAAATGTTCAGAGAACATTCAAAAGTAATGTTCCCATAATGTTTGCAAAATAATTAACCATAACCAAGAAAAAACGTTTTTAAAACATTAAAAATGTGGCATTTTAAATGTTTAGGGATGATTAACAAATAACATTTTCATAATTGAATTGGAACATTAGCAAAACCTTCTTAGAACATGTTTTTGTTAGCGGGGATCATAATGGTTCATGAAGGTTTTGAGATACTTAAAAATATATATATATTTAGCCGCACTCTATAAAACATTAGGGTTCCAATTTTTTATAGATGTTTTTTTTGCAGTGATGCCTTAGCAGAACCATTTGGGTCCCCCTAAGAACCATTCAATGATTACTTCTTTTAAAAAAAAGTGTTTTTTGGTGTGAAAAACATTTTAATAATCTAAATAACCATTTTTCACTATAAAGAACTTTTTGTGCGATGGAAAGGTTCCATGTGTTAAAGGTTCGTCATTGAACCATCAGTGCCAATACAGAACATTCAGCAGGTGCCTACAACTTCTCCAGAGGGTTCTTCCAGTGTAGCAGTCTGAGAAACCTCAAATGGTGTCTCAAATATCTTTTAATTTGAACAATAATCTTCAGTGAAACACCAATATGAAAAGAAGATAAATGGGCTTAGTAACACATCACATTATTCTAACAGCAATTCAAAAACTATTACTATCAAAGAAGCAAGTGCAATTTACATAAGAATTCATACAACTAAGCAACAGTCAAAGTCAGTTCATGTTGCATGCCATTATAGTGTTTCTTTCCCTGCTTTTTTAAAGTCAACTCATCAAAGAGAAAGAAATGAGGGAGCTGCCTAGCATTGTTTGTCTGCAATGTTTTAATTATTTTAGCCAGAGACATGCATTTTGACAGTGATATCTGGATGATCTACAATATAACGGTACAATGAAAGCAAACTTCAACTCTTACCCACAAACCTCTGTGGCATAGAGCTCTTACGCTTAGCTACATTGTTAGCTATCCTGTCTAGCACCAAGGCTCTCTCAGACGCAGGCATGTCCTCCCTCTGCTCATTCTGGCTGTTCTCTTCCTTCACTATGGAAAGCAAGACAAAGAAACCACGCATAAGATTCAAAAGTCTGTATCTAACCTGAGCTCATCCTCTGACATGATGCTAACTATAATTAAGGATGATGTTCCTTCAATCATGCAATTAAGATGGTTTTCTATCCCTTACTCTAAGCTTTTTAATTTTTTTCTTAAGACATTTTTTTTTTAAAGCTTTGGGACTTTACAGGCATGTTGCTGCAAAATTATCAATTATTGTTAGTTGTACTTCCACTAATACATATTTACAATAAACCACATTTAGGCCACGATAACGGTTATAGATTAGCACCATTTCCATCTATAAGAACAGAAAACACTTTGAGAAAGAGCTTTGGTGTTCTGTCATTCACAGACCAGTATAAATGCTATTCTGAAGGCCCATGCACTGCAGGTAGTTGTGACATCTCTCCTTATGTTCCTCCAGCGAGCTCCGCTGCTTGTAACTGCGACCGCAGTATGCACACTTATGAGGTTTTCCAACTGTAAATTTAAAACAAAAGCAAAATCTGCTCAATCACACAGTACAATTTAGTCTTTGTGGTGTTCACTACAATATAGCGTAACACAATAACACTTGTTTTCTGAACTGGCTCAAGTGAATGAATCAGTGCAGGTTTGAGTTAATGAAGAAATGTAGGCATGCCTGAATCATCCAGGCGCCAGGCATTTACCCGAGTGAGTGCGCAGGTGTCCGGTGAGGGCGTCTCTGCGGCGGCAAGCGTAGTTGCACAGGTGACACTTGAAAGGTTTCTCGCCAGAGTGCAGTTTGATGTGTCGGAGCAGGTTACCCTTCTGAGTAAAGGAAGCACCGCACTGGTTGCACTGAAATGGCCTTTCCCCTAGGAGAATGAAAGATAACGCATAACTCGTATGTTGGAATTAAGATATTTTCATGTAAAATTACTTCATGCTGCAAGTCATGCACAATGATTAAGGAACTAGATTTTTCAGCATGTTCTCCTTTCTAATGGTCCCAAAACATATTTGGACACTTAAGCCACGCTTAAAAATGGTTGAGGATCATATTGCAATCGGTTACAAAATATTAAACCAAAAAGCGTGTTATGCTGTAAATGATAAAACAGTAGATGTACTGTTCAAAATGAAGGCAAAAAGTATTTGGACACTTTCTTGTTATCAAACGTTAGTAGAATATGTCCATAGGTGCAGTAGCACACCTGTCTGAAACTTTTAAATGACAAATAATATTCAGTAATATTATTAATACTGTTTCACTGATATTATTGGATGAGAACAAAAGTGAACTGAATAAAGCTGGATAATGACACTGCTGCCTTAGCCTAGGGGACTGCAGATGAAAAGTAGTTATTGTTACTAATTCTGGCATATTTACATGGTGTATATCTATACAACAATGTTCATGAATATGCATGGTCCCTATTAAAAAAATACAATTAAACTTGTTTCATAATTGATTAGCTTTGCAACATTGACACTGTTATTAAACTAAATCACCACTGAGCTGAATTGATAATGTGTAAAGCTGCTTTATAGCTGAAATGTCATAATTATTGAATTCTGCAACATTTCCTTTTCATTGCAGTAAAGCTGCTTACACAATCTGCATTGTATAGATCCTTATAAAAGTCATTAAATGTGACTTAAAACGGACTTCATCCACTGGAACTGTGTATTAGTTAAAAAAGTAATTGCAAAAAATGGTGTCTTTTCGATTTTTGTGGCTTCTGTGTTCCCTTGTGTGATAAAGTAACTTGCGCTCACAAAGAAGTGACTCGTTGTGTTTTAACCTGTAGAGCAGTTATATATACACCTGTATAGAATGCCAGCGGCAAATGGCCATGTAAATGGCGAGCGTCTGAGACACTATATCGGCTCTCTGGAAGCAAAGCATCCGCCGCTGTAGCGCTATTACGCTGTGAATGCGGGGTCATTGTCCTACACGGCTCCGGCGCGCTGTTACATCTCCAACAACGCGGCGCCTCGCGCCAAAGCTCAATCAAACACGCGAGCGCCGCTCTGCGCTCTGCGCTCTGCGCGCGCTGCCTGGCTCCTGATCGAACAAGAGGCTTTCAGACGCTGCCTGCCAGTTTCGTAATGCACCACTGCCTGGGTCAATTTGATCTGAAAATCTCATTTTTTCCTCTTCTTCAGCTCTAAAATAAGAGCGGCCCATCACAATGCAAATGCAGAGCTCATTTAAATAAAGTGAAGGAAACACTTTGTGTTTGAGAGCCAGTCTTCCTGATCAGCGCCCCTGGAATAAACCAATATCCAGCTCCTCCGAATGTTGTGGCATTCTCCGAGAACGCTATTAATAGGGCGCTCTCTTCAAAAGCCCTATAAAATAAGAGTCACCAGTGAAGCAGCAAAAAGACGGAAAGAGAAACTCATTAAAAAGGCATTTCAGGAGCACGGTACCTCCTGCGAATATTTTGATTTAAATAGGAAGCACTTCATTATGTCTTTTATTGTACGTTCTTTTCTGAATTTATATTAGCCCACTGTTCCTTTCTTCCATTTTGAGTTTCATTAGTTTGTCAAGTGAGGAAGTTAAGTGCCTTTTTGAAAAATGTTCTCACCCACTGGTTTGGCTTCGTCGCAGTGGAATATCAATTTGAGAAAGGGAGAAAATAACTAATACTGAAATAATTGTCATCTGAGAGAGACTTTTGCTTGGTTAGTTGATCCATTTGGACTGTTAGCTATAAAGAAATCTAAACAAAATGTCACAAAAGACAAAACACACATCTCATCTTAATTGTTAACACATGAGTCTTTAAAATGATAGTTCACCCAAAAATTAAAATACTGTCATCATTTACTCACCCTTACTGTTTGTCATTCCAAACCTGTATGACTTTCTTTCGTCTGTGGAACATAAAAGAAGATATTTTGAGAAATGTCTCAGTATTTTAGTCCATACAATGGAAGTCAGTGGTAACCAAAACAGTATGCTTCTTGAAAATATCTTCTTTTGTGTTCCGCATAAGAAAAAAAAAGTCATACCGGTTTGGAACAACATAAAGGTGAACAAATGATGACCGAATTTACATTTTGGATGCAACAAACTGCGGAAATTATCCGAAAATGCTACCCTAATGTTTTAAAAACAAACATATTGTAATTATATTAGTCATTTACATCAACTAACATCATCCATTCAAGTCAAGCCGTGCACAGTTACTACACTGGCTTCCATTAAAGAAAAGGATGGTTACATTTAAAACACATCCCAGCGTCTGTCTCTGTCCTGCTCTCTGTGTGTCTCTCTATGTGCGGATCAACCTACCCAGCCCTGTGCCCTGTGAGTTGTGAGTGATAGTATAAGGAGGGAAGAGTAGATGGCAGTTGTGCTTACCAGTGTGACTTCGCTTGTGCACCATTAACACATTGGGCCCAATGCAAACCATCCCACAGATATCGCACTTCAGCTTCCCGTTGGGGAGGCGGATGCCCCCGGCCGTGGGGTAGGCGGCCGGCTTGCTGTCAGGGCCTGCGTGGGAGCCGTTCACTTTGGCCCCTGAGCCATCGAGCACACGCAAGTCCTCGGCTGCACATTCCTCCTCCTCCTCTCCATTCATCTCACAGGTCAGCCCGTTTTCCTCGTCACTCCGAGCCTCAACTTTTATATTACAGGCTGGAAAAGAGGGTAGTGGGCCTGTTAAGTTCAGTGGCAGGCTGGGTGGTTATTTTCTCTAACTAACACTGCCATCTTTTATCATGATTTCTTAATGTTCTGCAGCGAAAAGAGCATCTGCAAAGCAACTGTTTTCTTTCTTTCAGCCTTTGATTAGCTGTATTTGTGTGTGTATGTCCAAAACATCAACTTTAGTTGCATTAAACACATTTTTTGAAATATTCACTTAACATAGAGAACATAAACTGCATTTGTTGAACAGCGGTGTATTGTAGATATGACCAGTGTTGGGAGATAACTGAAAGCAGTAGCAAGTTACTAACTTAATAACATTTTCAGCTGCTACAACACAGTTTTTTGTTTTTTTAAGGAAACACAGCTTTGTAGCCGAGGAAACTGAGACAATAATCCAATATGCTTTTTATGTGAAGTCTGATTCGTTTGAGTGAATCAGATTGTTCTGTTGATTGATGTATCTGTTAATTTATTCATATATTCACATTTTAAAGTGTCATTTATTTCTGTGATGCAAAGCTGAATTTTCAGCATCATTACTCCAGTCTTCAGTGTCACATGATCCTTCAGATGCTGATTTGCTGCTCAAGAAACATTCGTCATTATTATCAAATTGAAAACAGCTGTCCTGCTTAATATTTTTGTTGAAAACCATGATACATTTTTTAGGACTCCTTGATGAATAGAATGCTCAAAAGAACCGCATTTATTTGAAATGAATAAAAGTATTCAATTCTTTCAGAAAATAAAAATCTTACTGACCCCAAACATTTGGATGGTAGTGTAGTTAGCAACTCTTTGTTAGTAGTTTGTAATCAAAAATTAAAATTAAAAATGAGTAGCTACTTTGGCAGTTTCAAATGAGCTTCCCCAACACTATGACTACCATGTACTGTAAATAAATGGACAAATCTGTAATATAAAGTTAAGACATTTATATAAGACATATGTTTACGGGGTAAATACTCCCAACACCCTTTAAGGAATCATATTTGAGAGATGTACTGTAACATTACTGGATTGATATTCCATTTAAATAATCCAGTATTCTTCTATCAAACTGCCTGCTCTCAAACCATCTTACCATCTCATTCATCATCACACTTCTCTGAAACAAATGACTGATAAACAGGAAACAGAGACACAGGAAGCTCTGTGAAACTGAGGACTCTCAGCGGTGTAAACCAGACCAACAAACCGTGGTAAACACATACACACACACACACACATAGACTCACATACAAGCCTACAGAAGCATGCAAAAAGGAGCACACCATCAAATAAAAAAACGAAACTGTGTTAAATATTTAGGTTATTCTATGGAATGTCCGATTATGAGCTAGATCATTGCTCAAATGCCCGTTCAGCCTAATGAAGTAAACATTTCGAGTCTTTTAAGGCAGTTAGAGCTCAGGATAAAGGTCCTGTGGTTAATACACTGTGGTGCCAGGCTGATTTCCCCATGCTTCAGCCTCTGTTTGTAAAGACTCAAGAGGAACAAGCAGAAATAATGAAATATGGGAATCCAAGGGAAAAGGGGAAGCTTCAGCGCCCAAGCCGGCCCAACCGAAAAAAAAGGACAAGAGTTATGGAGAAGTGACAGAAAGGGAAGCACAGACAGGGAATTGTTAAGCACAACAAGTGAAACAGTTTTTCTTTTTCATTTTCTGTATTCAGACTACAGGGATCAGCAACTGAAGCACGTGATTGAACTGGAGAGTACCGACAGACAAAAGTGCTGTCTGTGTTCAGGTTACTCTCTGACAGTTAGCAGAGCACAGCCACACTCTTGTTTGTGTGCTTCCAAAATAGATTGGAAATAATTGTCTCGAGTTTTACAGCAAGTGATCCAGTTTCCAGTATAATCGTCTGACAGTGACTAAGAAAAAGACTGAAAACTAATCAAATAACTAACTAGAAAAGATAAAAGCTAGTTGACTAAAAACTGTATTATCTTTAATTTCAGAGAAGCTCTTGACTGAACATCACATAATGAAGTCAAGCCAGCAATTTTCCTTTTTAATGCACGTTCCTGGTCTTCATGTGCGCTATTCATCGGTGGACATTCTTCTTCATAAAAAAGCTGTACCTTATTTAGCCTTAAAGGATTCATATTAGTACCTTAATGTTCATTTTTACCTAAAGTGTACATAAATTATACATATACATACTTTTTGAAAACAGAGCTCCCCCAGTGACGGCTTTTGTACTTTTCTTTAATAGTAATTTTCAATCCCTCCCCTCCAGTATCCTGGCTGTATTAGCATTTCCTCGATCCAGTCAATTCCCAATAAGCCTGCCTACATTTTTCCTGCTGAATATTCTGTTTAACTCTAAGAAAGTTTGTTTGATTAAGTAAAACAGGTTGGAAACTGCATTCGATGTTGCCTTTAAAGAAGGTTTATATGGATTTCAGTGTCAATGTGTGAATGAATTACAGCAGTTAATAACATAAAGACAATACAGGAATACGATCTCCCATTAACAGCCATAAAAGGATGTATATCTTCCTCTCGCACACACACACACACACCCACACCCACACACACACACAGATCCACTGACAGCCTTTCTGCTTATATGATATGATGATTTAACCAGTGTGATGTGACCTGAGTTTGGCAGAGGGAACTAGGCTTGTTGTCATGATACGGTCTCTCATGGATCTTTTGGGGAAGTTGTGACTAAACTGGGGATGGGAAGAGGAGCTTTTACTTTGTATAACGTTTGTCACACATCCTAATTTACCCATTTTGGGAAGCAAGTGTCAAAAGCCACAGACAAGGACAAACAAAAGAGCTCTACATAGAACAGAGCGACATAACAGGCAAACCTCACAAACATCAATGGATCATTTTAAATGGGATTAAATTAGATTTTTTTCCATTTCTAGAGCAACTCTCTGGAAGTGAAGTGGTTCGGTTAGTGACAAGTCAGTCTCCCTTTAGCAGTTTGAACCTGTGACCCTCTGCTACATCGATTACTAAGTTATCGCAACATTGCACTTTAGCAAGGAATGTATTCACGACGAGGGCGCTATAAATGAAAATAAGTCTTTGCTAGTACAATTTATTTTCGTTTGTGCTCCAGTCGAGGCGCTGAAAAAAACTTTGAATAGCTTATGTGGTGTGGGAGAGCTACATGCTCATTAACCACGGCTCCACAGCGGGTGGGTGAGAGTATATGTTTGAGCGTGCATGTGTATGCATATGTGTGTCAGATGGGATAAAAAAGAACCCTGCTTTCGTTCTCACAGTTTTAGGAACTTGCTAGTGAAATGTTTGCATCTGATATAGCAACAGGTTTAAGGGCAGGCCATCACCCTCATACATTTAAAAAGAGGAATTACATGATAAAATAGGCCATGCACCATGAAAACCTTCCTGCATTTCACTGGACAGCGTATTTTTCCATGCAGTGCTAATAAATACTAATGCTCAAACCAAACAGCATTAATTTTTTAAATAAAACTTAAAGTCGACATGCAAAACAAATGGACTATGTTTATTTTAATATGAATGTCTTAATATGAATGATTAATCGGTGTACGTGATTTAATGGAATTAAATGGTTATATTCATTATCTCTAATCAAAATCTAAAATGACTTTCCTTTCTGCTGCCACTTAGCTATTTTTTGTAGGTTAATTAATATCCAAATGGCTATTTATGTATTATTTTAGCATTCAGTTTGGCTCTAATCTGGTATGTAACACCCCAAACAATTCCTGCTCATTTTTTCTACTTGAATGTCTTGTTTCACTTGGAAATATGTGACATTATGGGAGTAAAATGGGTTGTGAACACCAATACCCCTTGTGGTACTTAATAAATATGATGTTTTGATACACATAATTGCATGTTAATTAAAATGTAATTATAATATAAACACATTATAGTTTAAATTGATATCAAATTCTTTTTTTTTTTTTGGTGGTGGTATCACTTTGTTTTACGGTGTCATTGTTACACGTTACATGTACTTGTCCTTGCAACTAACCCTAAATCAAACCCTCATCCTCACCATAAACATATAGTAAGTACATTCATTGATATTACTCAGTATTTAAATGTGTAATTACACTGTAACAAGGACACTATAAAATAAAGTTGAACTATTTTTGACCCACTTACGTAGGACCCAAGTACATCTTTATATTATTTATATTGTACTGACAAGCAAATATGGCAAACTAAAATGCACTTAAATGCTATTTCTATCGAAACTTGTACATACTTACATTTGTAACAATGAAGTTGCAATTTAGTACATTTGAAATATATTAACTTTAAATGTAATATTAAAACACTATACTTTAATGCACAACAAAAGATTATTAAAACACAATTATTTAGAATGTACTTTAAAGTATGACTTTTATTTTGACATTATTTCAAAATGCACTATTTAAAAGTGTACTTAGTCATAAAAGTGTACTGTAAGTACTCATAAGTGGCCTTTTATTTCATTAAAAATATATGCGAGAACCATTTTTAAAATAGAAAATATTTTTAAAATAAACGTTTAGTTTGTAAAGGAAAACATTGTTTGGCTCTTTGTGCTTCACACAGATTTAAAATTTCAATCCTCAAAATGTTTTTATAACTAGAGGAGTTTCTAGGTCTTTCATAGCAGGAAAGCGAAGAGACAGCGCTTTGTAAGAACCATCTCTATATGTTTTGATTTCCTGATATTCTACGCACGCTGCTACGTGTCTGATCGAGCTGCGTACTGCACAGTCTGCACAGATATTCCCTTGATACACTTAATCAGAGAAGCAATGATGCACTGTGAAGATACTGTCTTCACATCCTCTTGCACACTGGCTGATTATATCTTCAGGGACAACATGCAGGCAGACAGACAGATGCACGCACAAGCACACACACATATTCACACAAACCTTTACTAATGAGTTCAGAGCATTTGAAGTTTAGTTCCCCGTTTCTCTCGAACAATCCACCTTTTTTTTTCTAAATCCTAAATGGCATCATGATTCTTTCTGTACACCCCAAATACACTCACATCTCAATCTAAAAAGATTTTCATCAGTGAAAGCATCTCTAAAGAGTGTGAAAAGTGTATTTGTGGGCAAAAAATGGGTGGTGTTGAGTTCAATTTTAATACACTTCTTAGTGTTCTTAATGTCATCCTGACTGTTCAAACAGATGACTTACAAGTGATTTATTTTCATGTAATGAGAACACGCTGCAGCCTCTTGTCAGTGTCTATGGCCTCTTATTACTTTATCGATATGACTTTGCTCTTTATACATAACACATTAGTAAGATATGAAAGTGTTATTTTGCTGAGAGTGAAGCATGTCTTTTGGACTTGCATTTGAATGTGGGTGCAATCCACCTTTTTTTTTCTAAATCCTAAATGGCATCATGATTCTTTCTGTACACCCCAAATACACTCACATCTCAATCTAAAAAGATTTTAATCAGTGAAAGCATCTCTAAAGAGTGTGAAAAGTGTATTTGTGGGCAAAAAATGGGTGGTGTTGAGTTCAATTTTAATACACTTCTTAGTGTTCTTAATGTCATCCTGACTGTTCAAACAGATGACTTACAAGTGATTTATTTTCATGTAATGAGAACACGCTGCAGCCTCTTGTCAGTGTCTATGGCCTCTTATTACTTTATCGATATGACTTTGCTCTTTATACATAACACATTAGTAAGATATGAAAGTGTTATTTTGCTGAGAGTGAAGCATGTCTTTTGGACTTGCATTTGAATGTGGGTGTGTGTGGAAGTGTGTGAATATCGTGGCAGTTGAAGTGAAAGCATGGCATAAGTGCAGGTGCAGAGTTGTGTGTGTTGCATGTAAGAGAGCGTACGCTCGCATTTGTTGCGATACTGCACCTATCTGGTGTTGCTCCTGAACATTTTATCTCCTTGAGTGAGTGTTGAAACTGAGTTCTGGCAAGTTCTTCTTAGGAAACTCTTGCACATCCTATTTCAGTTTCCTCTCACATCTTTTTTTTTTCTTTCTCTCTCTCTCTCTCAGTCTGTTTTTTACTTTCAGTAGCTTCAAAGTGAGCGGGTCACACATTAAGTCCAAGTTAATCTGGAACTTCTGGAGGGGAAAATTCCAAACTAAAATACATCAAGATATTAAACAGGCCATCTGTTAACTTTTGGTTAGCCAAATTTATTCCCACCCATTTTCATCTTTAGTTAACCCACTTTCTATTTACACTGCTAACACTATATTTATTAATATAATGACTAACTTACACATTCTGTTACTACCTACCAATCTTGTTGTATTAATTTTGTGAAAACAGAAGTGTTCAATTCTTATATATATATATATATATATATACTATCACTCAAAAGCTTGAGGTCATTAAAAAGTTTATTTTTATGAATAAATACTTTTATTCTGTTAAATTAATCAAAAGTGGCTAAAAAGACTTTTATAATGATATTAAGATTCCTATTTCAAGTAAATGCTGTTCTTTTGAACTTTCTATTAATCCTAAAAAAAAATCATGGTTTCCACACAACTGCTTTCAACATTGATAACAATAAGAAATGTTCCTTGAGCAGCCAATGTTTCTTTGCATCATAGGAATAAATTACATTTTAAAATATTTTAAAATAGAAGACAGTACCATAAATTCTAATTATATTTCACATTATTGCATATTTTACTGTGTTTTGGTTAAATAAATGCAGCCTTGGTGTGCTTGGTGACTTTGAAAAACATTTAAAAAAATCTTACTGACCCCACACTTTTGAATATTTGTGCACCTTTTAGTTTTTGTTCTTGGAAAACAAATGGCTTTAACAGTTTTGCAATAAAATTTTAATTTACATTTAATCCTTTAGACATTTTGTCAGATGTTTTTAATCCAAAAAGAACTTATAAATTATAAAAACAAAAGAAATGTAATATAGAATTTCAAGAGTGCATAAGAAATGGAAGGGCAGAAGTGTGTAAAGAAATAAAAAAAATGTCCTAATAAGTGGGTTAAACAGTTTATGGCACAACTGAGCACATTATGTGTAGGCTCAGTCAGTGAGTAAATGCTGTTTCAGTGTATTAAATTAGAAATTTGCTGTTTAAATGTCCCACGTTTTCAGGAACCAGTAGGTATGAACTATAAGTCTGACGATGAAAATAATTAATTTAGCATACTACTTAAAGTTTTTACAGCAGTTCGGTTTTGATTTGTTTGTTTTTTTTCTTTCTATGCATGCCAATAGAAAAAAAGAGACATGATCTAATTACAAAAGCTGAAGATGCGCAACTTGAGCTAAATTGAATGCTTCGGACCATGCGATTGTGTTTGAACAATCTAGTGCACTCGCTCTCTGATGTTGTAGGCCGGACGAGAGACGTTACATGCACTCATTTCAATATGATTTCAAATTGAATCTGTTTGTAAGTAGATGTATATCAGTAATGGGGCCCCATTTGGATACTTGATTTGGTATTTCACTGGAAAAGAGACATTTCTGATGAGAGATAGATGCCATTCATGTCATTCCGAACCAGACTTTTTTCTTCTGCAGAACAACGTTATTTTAAATAATGTTTTTGTTCATTCATCAATGAAGTCGAAAGTAGGCTTGGAATGACATAAGGGTGAGTAAACGATTTTCATTTTTGGGTGAACTATCATTTTATGTAGTAACTTTTTGTTCCTTTAAACTGGTAAGAGTGGAATTATTATTATTATTATTCAGAGATCATATATATACATTTTTAAGAGTTGATCAGACATTTGTGTGACTGGAAGTCTCCAAAATTTGGTCTAGAATCACCTGTGCATTAAAGGGATCATGAACAGCCTTTTCACTATTTTGTACTGTTCTCTGAGGTCCATCAAGATTTTCACATAAAAAAACATCATAATTTTGAAGTAATGGGCTATTTTCTGTCCTGTTTAGACCCCCCTCATCTGAACACTCTGTTTGAATAGATGTAATGTATTGTAGACTCGGACGTAAATGCCCTCGTAATGAAAACAGTTACTCACACTTGTGTGCTGCAACATCGGATCCAATATCCACCTTTTTCTTGTCGTAAAAATGAGCGCGGCCATTTGGAAAATATATGGGTCTGGCTTCCGGTCTCATCTGCGTCCACTCCGTCCAGCTATTTTTAGCTGAGCAAAACAGTTCGTTTTGCTGCTTGATATTGAAAGTTGGTGTGTCTTATCATATTATTTTAATGTATTATCTTAATTATGAACACACTGGTTTGTAGTGCAAACAGTTTTACCGTTTACTGCACGTTGTTATTCTCCTCGTTATTTACCTATAGCGGTTAATGAACCGGAAGTCTCACCCATAGGCTTACTTCCGCGTTGAAGAAAAAGGTGGATAGATTTGTCTTTTAGTTTCAATCGTTCTGAAAATCCTGCATTGAATTGTGCCTTGTTAATAAACAAATCCGCGGTAAATTGAAGTGAACAAAGGATCAAGTTCTTACTGACACACTCTGGCACTTCCTTAAAAATAAAGTTAATCAAATAAAGTTTATCGTTTAGTTTCTGCCTAGACCTGCGTTTGCCGCTCTTGTCATTTACCTACTACACGTGTGAATCGGTGGGCGGGGCTAAACAGGCAGCGATGTAGAAGCAGGTGTTGATCTTCTGCGAAGCTGGTGTTTAGTGTCACTAATCTATTACATCATAAAGTTTCACATTCCACAAGCTGTTATTTTGGCGGATTGGCTACAGTATAAGCTTTTTTTAGACTAACGAGAAAGTTCTGAGATTTTTATAGCACAATGACCTCATATATCAAAAGATCAAGGGAATTTTGATTTCTCAGTTCATGACCCCTTTGACATATACAGTGGAGACAGAACTTCTTATAGCCTGTCGTTGAACAGTCAAAAAACGGTTATCTTTGCTTCACTGTTTTGATCGCCCAGACCTCACTGTGGCTTTGAACATATGAGAGGCGGCTCTTACCTGTTATCTGGGACATTTCCTGTGCCTCCTCAGTCTCCATCCTGTGCAGGTATTCTAACAGGAGTAAAAGCGAAAGAGAAAGAGTATAATCAGCGCTCGCGGCCTCAAAAATAAGTCTGTGTAAGAGAAGTGGTTGGTGATTAAAGGAGAATGGCCTTTCTTTGTGTATCTCCATCACCCTGGCAAGCACAGCCCTATTCCAGCCGCACACACCACTGTCTTCCACATTACATTACAATGAACTACAGACATTTTCATTACCGCTCTGACAGACGGGGTGAACTAAGAGAATAGATTTGGTGGGCTACAAGGCCGGCGATGGGATGGGGAGTCTCGAAAGGAACAGGCTTTCAGACCACATTTGTTATTTATTGTTAATTTCCTACCACATAATCATCCAAAAATGCAAACTGACTGCCGCAAAATTAAGCAGAAAATTAGATGGCCCGGGGTCATGGAGGATGCGGGTGTTTGGCATCGCCAGCTGACTGGCGCTCGTGTTCACTCTAATTTACTGAGCATGCATGGGCGAGCCCGGCAGCCCAACTCTTTCTCCGCTTCTCTTTAACACACACACACACACATAGGAACACAGGGATGTATGAACACAGACGGAAACGTAGACAAGAGAGTGCAATGAGTAAGATACAGAAGGTACAAACTAAACAAAGCAGGTTTATCAGAGACAAGAAATGAATAGATTAAGAAATAAGGGAAAGGTTAGTTGAAAATAAGTCAGTGAGAGAATTCTCCTTATTTTGCAACACGAAAGTTAGCTATTTTCTGTGAATGTGCGAGACCATATGTAAATAACTTGAAGATTCCCATATAACATATTTAGGTTATGAATAGATTGAGGGAACATTGTTTTTAAATGTTTCTAAAATGTTGTAACGTCCAGCTTCCTTGTTGTGATTAGAACGTTATTTAAAGCTTACAAAAACGTTTCTTAACTAACTTTATTTTTTACCCAAAATATAGCATTATTTGAATGGTAATTTTGAATGTTCTTAGAATGTTAAAATGTCCAGTTATTATTGAAAGGTTTGAAAAATGTTACTTACGACATTCTACAAACTTTATTTTTTCCTAAAATGTAATGTTTTTTGACTGTTAATTGTTAATATTCTAATATTCTTGTCATGATTATAATGTTTTTTAAAGGTTACAAAAAAACATTTCTTAGAACATTCATCAAGTACAAATAACATCATTAGATCATTCTAAGAATGTTGCTCTCAGAACGTTTTCTCTCAAATATTAATACGTTTATAGGAACATTCCATAAACATTATTTTATGAACATTTTGTCCTAATATTTATATAACTTTTATAAAACGTTGTGAGAATGTTCCATTTAATCAAGTGCAGAAAACTACTTGCACTACAAACCGGTGTGTTTATGATTTTGATAATACATTAAAATAATATGATAACAAATACCAGTTTGCCATATCAAGCAGCTGTTTTTATACTGGTAAAATAACTGGAAGCGAATGACACCGGAAGCCTCGTACACATACCCGCACCCACTCTTACGTTAAAAATAAGGTGAACAGGACGAGAAGAAAATGGAGGAAAGAAAAAGAGTGGAGGGTCAGAATGAATGTTTTCTGACTCCTTGTGGTGAGTGCTTCCTCAGGCCAGGCCTGCATATCTGAGAAGTCACCAGCGCTCGTGGCCCCATTAATAATGTAGCGGCCACTTGGGCCCACAGCAGATGGGCACAACAGCCTCGGCCTCGCTGCTACTTCAAGACGCTCCCGCTAGGGCCCCACGCCCGGCCCCACCAGCCACACAGGGAGAAGTGAAGTTCCTGAAAATAGCCAAGCAAGCTGAAGAGAGCTCCTGGGAGAAGGGGGACGTAGGCCTTCCTGTTTTTAATGACAGATGGCTCCATGGACTTGGAACAAATAGTGGGAAACCGGCGGCCTACCGTCTGTCGCAATGTCCCAGTCTTCCTGGGGATCGCGCTTCTCGGAAGACTTACGACCGGCTCGCACACCCAAAACCCTGGTGAGGGCTTGTTGTGACTGCTGTGAGATACAAACGTGCATGTGCTTGGGCATCATTGTGTGTGTGAAATGGAGAGGGTTAAAGGTCATTGGTGCGTAAAGGATTGCAGGTGGACATAAAGGTAGACACAATTAAATTGTATTTAGCTGAATAGTAATATGTTTTCTAATATGTCTAATATGTTTCTAATATGCAAATCCACATTTGCGGAATATGTATATATAAATTACAATTAACCTCAAAAGATGACACATTTTACTCTAAATATACTGTGCAGTATATCCAATGATGCAACACTTCAAATAGTTGCTCAGGTCACTTCTTCCCCTTTATTGCATATATGCATATGACAAATAAAAATGTAATTTAATTTTGTTACATTTTTGTAGCAAAAAATTGGATGGGCTGAATGTCTCATGTTAGTGAACTAATTAGCAAGATAACTAGCTGGCTAAATTTCCTTCGGAAATTGCTCATTCTCCATTGATTGATTCTCATTCTGTTTGTGTTGTAAAATAAACTGAATGCATATTTATTGAAATGATATTTTCCACAAATATACGGTATTATTTGTGATTGTAAAATATCGCTAGAAAGTAATATTAATGATATTTTACAAGCAAATTGCAGATCAGATCAGCTGTTATGAAGACCAAGGAGCTGCTCTGCTCATGGATCTTCACAGACCTCTTTGACTGTCTAAATGGGACATCAACAATCTTTTCAACACTTCACAGATTTGGCCACTGTGAGATAGTTGCTAGAAGGAAGGCATTTGGCTTCCTTGCCATGTTTCTTGCCACTGGTCTAGCTTTGATTTCACCAGGAGGCGCTTGTTGCCATCAAAAGCAACATGGGATGGGTAAATACAGGCAAATTCTTAAAGAGAACCTGTTTTAGTTAGTATTCTTGAATGGCCCAGCAACACTCAATTATGACTGAAAATCTGTGACTGGACCAGAGAAATACAACATTTAAGCTGACATCCCATGGTGGTGCATTTGCAAAAAAAAAAAAGTCCAAAAAAGTCAAAGTCAAAGTTTGACTCATTGATGAATATTTTTATAATATGTTCCTTTCTGAGTAAATGTTATGTCTGTACGTTTTTTTTTTATTGAAAATGTGTTCAATTTTGTGTCCCATTGAGAAAAAACAATGCATTTATTGAATGATTAATATGATTTTTAAAAATTATTTTATTGATCCAGTTTTTAGGAAGTGTAACATTGACAAAAACTAACCAACTAACTAAACAGTAACAGCATAGGGGAGAGCGGGGCTTGTGTAAATCCCCTTGGCTTTCAGAGTATTTCTTCCACATTTATCTCACAAAAATGTACAAATATGTGGTCTTGTTTCATTAATAAGGTGTGCACTTTTTCTTTATTTACCCCGAAAGAATGGAAGTGAAATGTGACAGCATGTCCCATATGTGGGGCACATTGTAACATGACCATTTAACATCTGACCTAATCAAAAATATACAAGACAAACTAAAATGTTTTGTCAATAAAATACAATAATGAGCAATTTTAGTAATTCAAAATAACTAATTTTGGAGCTTGACAGTGAACACACCACAGAACACAACTATGCGGCATAGCTCAAAACAATGTGAACAAATAGATGAAGAAACACATTCGGAAAACACTGAACTGGACACAACACACCCCTCCCTCCACACACAGCTCTCACAACACAACACAACACAAATAGACAAGCCAATATTTGTGCTTTAACTTTCCTGAAATCATTTTTTTCTGAACATCCAGGTTCTCTCTCAGTTTTTATTCACCTTAGTTCATGGTTTCGATTATTAGAGTTCGATATGTGAATTGCATCATAGAATAACATAATTCTAATAGCAGGAAACGTTTGAACAGGTCCCCCACCTGAGCAACTGGGATTTACACTCACCTAGTGTCTTCTGCTGGTTAGATAAACATTAAAGAACTTTCTAAACTGTTAATGAACAGGTTGGAGATTAAAATAACAGCAAATATGTCTCATTTTAAAAACACACACACACACAAAAAAAATCAAAATGCACTTTTGCTATGGTTAAATAAATGTTCAATGATATCTTCCAAAGATTTTTGAATTTTTGGCACGTTTTCTCTTCATATGGCAACTATTCAATACACTAAGTTTCGTCATGTGTGGAAACTTTGAAACCATGAGTGTTACAACTCTGTACTCCTATAGATAAAACTGGCACTTTTTCAAAAGGTGTTGATTGAGGAGTCAGGTCAGGTTTGGCTTTGGGTTAGGTGCAATAAAAATGTATTATATGTGACGCATTCCTCATACCACAAACTAACCATCATCTTGAAGGTTGATGCACTATTTTTCGTAACTGAGGCTCTATGGAGTGGAGAAGTAGAGTGTATGAGTGTGTTGGGTGGGTGGCTGTGTACGGTATTCCCCTGCACCCCCTTTTCTGAGCAGATGTGAGAGGGGAAATAGTGATGGTGTAGACAAAGAGGGGGAAGAAAATGTTCAAATACTCCTCACTGATGAGCTTCTTCATGTATGATTATTTAAACCAGCACTTTATTCTGCCACTCTGACAGAGTTAACATACCAGTTACCTGCTCTTAGCTGGCGACTTTATTTATATACAGTGAGTAAAAATGAAATGGTTACTATACTAAATGTTATCTCAACCCACACATTCAGTTACCTATTTTTTCAGCAGTTTTTGCTTGTGTTGTCAAACCTCAGTGTGCGTGTAGGACACTGGTCTCAGTCAAGACAGGAGATTAGCATAGTCAAGCACATTATCATACAGACAGGAAGAGCTCTGTGGGTTTTAAAACACCCTTAGTGTGTGTGTGTAAAGAGAAAGGGAGTGTAAAGGGTAGGAAAACGATCTAAGTGTGAAAAAAAGTTGAAGAGATGGGTGGAGACTCGGCACTGCAAAACCGTTAAACAGACAAAATGCCATTGCTGCATTTAGAGCCATTCAAAGGTGAGTATGACTTAACTAAATAACTACTTGCAACAAGTGCCGTTTCATCATTTCACTCAGGGATGGTTACATAAATGACATCTACATGTAATGAGTCAAGAAGAGTTGCTAAGGGTAAATGCTGGAATTTTTTCCTTTGCATAAATCAGCAATATTCTAAAAGGATGCAAAACAATTCTGGGAATTTTTTTTTTTTGTTTGTCTTTTTGGTTTCAGTAGGAACAAACCTGATTTAAGTCATAACAGAAATATTTTGTCCACTTTAAACATGACACAGTTTGAGTCAAACACAGATACTACATTCAAATAAATATTTGATGTTAACACAAATGCAATTGCTACTTTTTAATTAATAACATTTATACAAAAAATAATAATAATAATGTTATTATTCATTATTCATTTGGTCAATTCGATTTTAATCTTCATATGAATATTTTAACATGAAAAAAGTAATAGTACTGGAGGACACCTGAAGAATGTTTAATATATTCAGGTTCATACAGGTAAGACTAATTCAATATCAATTTCCCCGAGAGAAAGCTTCACCTCTTATCATAAACAATATTAATTCTCTTCTTTAGCTTACAGAACATTCTTCTATTTCAGTAAAAAATACTGAAACGCATGCATTTCTTAATAAAAATATAGGTTTATCCTATGTTTATATATATATATTTGTATGAATATGATAAAAAAAAAATCATTAATATAACCTAAAATAGACATTACAAATATGATTCTTTTGGAAAGTTAGCATGAATAAAAAAAAATAAAAAAAAAATAGCATTGAATAATCGTATTTGTAGCAATTGAACAATGTTGAAAATAATGATTTCTAATTAGAAGAGCTGAACTTCTAAACACTGTTTCGCTTTTTCAGTAACTGTTTGTCAAATGGGATATCCATTGCACATGCATCAGTGGGGATTTCATCACATTTAAGGGCGTAAGATAGAGTGATTGCTATCTGTCAAAGATGATGTGCAGGAACTGCTTTCTGAGGCTTTCACAGAAATAAAAGAAGCTCGCTTTAGAAGCCTCATTTACACTGGCCACACTTCACTACACTGCCATTGAGAGCACTCATTTTATTCACTTCGTCATTTCATCTCTCTCTTTCTCTGCGCACATTTTTAATGTGCCACATTAACGTGTACAATATGCTTTATACATGAAAAGTGCCTGAAACTAACGGGAATAGATGTTGCCGTATATGGAGATATTATACTTTTGAGATGCGCAAACGTTACAAACATACACTGTGAAACTGTTATTTTAAGAGCGCGGATGTGAAAACCATTCTTTTTTTTCTTTAAAAATAGAATAAAGTTATTTAAATGCAGCAACAAACTGTAGGCTACTGAAATATAAAGCGGCTATTATTTTTTAACTATCTTACATACAAATGAAGGCCTACATTATAGGTTTGATAATTATATTTTTCATTGGCAATTATTCAAATCTTAGTAAAACAAACTTTTTTGTCTATACATTTGCGTTTGCTCGTTTCTCAGTAAGAAAGTTTGATGAATCAGTTCTCTCAGATAAATGTGAGAAGTGTGTTTTTGTCTGTCGCACGCGGTGTATTTTTACACAATCGCTCAATAGAGTTTCTCATGTGTTGCACATATGACCTGTGCCGTGAGCACTAACGAGTGTACATGAAACCAAACAAGGGCACAAGAGAGAAGCTCGAGACACACATGCATCACCGGAGAAAAAAATGACCAAGAAGTCGTGTAAGTCATTTTCACCTGTTTTACAGTACCTACACTGGAAAAAGTGAGAAAACTGTACTTTTTTTTAAGGCTGATTAAGTAAAACCAACTTGCTGTGATAACTTTTTTAACCACTTTGTATTTAATTTAAAATAAAGAAAAGCGAGCAAAAATGAAAGTGAAATGAATGGAAGCAAAGATTTGGTTCTAACATAATGAAATAAAAAAGTCCAGTGTAAAACTTCCTAAAAACACTATTTTTGAAGAATGCATCCATAGCTGGACGGAGAAAACTAACTTTTCGATTTCATATATTTCCTTAGACGTATTACTGATCAAATGTATGTGTCATTTATTAATT